AAACCCTTAGTTACGCTAAATAAATGCATGAAAACTACCCAAATACTCTTCAGGATGCGCTGGTACAAAAGATCATAGCTCTGCTTTTGTTCCTTTAATAGAGTTAAATAATGCATAGAAGTGCTAAGAAAATATAAATATATTTAATTTAAAGTCAATACCTTAAGACAGTTTCCCTTCACTGCGCAATTGATGAAGTACAAGGCATTCTGAAATCTACCTAATTGCAAATTACTACTGTTGATAATGTGGTTAAAATCTCTCGGTGTAAGTTAATAAAAGAATTATTAAAAGCACTTTCTTTTATGATAGAGTTAAAAAGTACATAAAAGTAATGAAGAAAAGAAAAAAAAATAAAAAAAGGGTGAGACGAAACCTAAAACGAAGTGATAAAAGCTTGCCAAGTAATAGCCATGCGCCAACTGGGTGGGAGTGATCAAGGCTTTGTTAGAGAGCAATATGACTGTACCCACAATTAATTAATTTCTAAAAGGGAAATTTAAATTAGAAAGTGTATGAGAAGTGCACTTGAAATATCGTTTTCAAGCCGGTAAGTTTCGTTTTCGAGAAAACTAAATTTTAAAATTTATGAAGGAAAAAAAAGTTCTTATAATTTTAAAAATAGTAAACTTTCGAGTTCCTGGTACATAATTTATAATTGCAGAAAGGACAGTCAAGGGATTTAAAGTATGCAAAGTTTTTCGTAATTTTGGGTAAAGCTGTTGTTGCCTTTTCCAATAAATTGCTAGTGCTACAGAGGGCTCAAAATGACTAGAAAAATAGTTTCAAGGAAATAGAGATTGAAAAAAAAAACTAATACTCTTTAAAAGGAGTTGCATCATTTAAAAGAAAAGCATCGCTATCAAGTAACAAATTCTTTGGGTATAGTAAAACTGAGTCAAGTTCTGAGTCAGTGAGTTGGCGAACTACTTCATCTTTAAACATGTAAAATGATAGTTCTGGAGTTACGCTTGCGACAGTGCCAGAACTGCAAAAGAAATCTTTAACGATTAAAAAACAGTTTTCAAGTAACAGCTGTAAATTTTCAGAGGGAAGCAAATAACTAAAAAAAAGGTTTAAATAGAACGAGTAAAATTAAACCAGTTTTATGAAAGTGTAACCATTTTTTTAATTTTATAAGATGAGAATGCTCTTTAGGCCCTTTAGGTAAACGCAAAGAAAGTATAGGTTCCAGTTCTATAAATGTGCTACCTCAAAATTTATAATATGAACAAAATTTAAAACCTTTAATCTTAACGTACTGCCCCAATCTGTCAAGGTTGTTAACGTCGGAATTGCTCGCAGAATTTGAAAGGGCAATTTGTAAACTTTTCTCTAGTTTGCTACGTTTAACTTTATGTAACCGTAAGAAGTCCATAATACACTTACAGGTATTAAGTGCATGCCTTTCCCCCCGTTACAGTGTTGAAAACACCGTGCAATACAAGAATCCGATAAGTCCGCACGAATAAGGGGCCTGTACAAACCATATTTGTTATTTGACTTTAGAAGTATTCGTTTGGACTCATCAAGATGCACCAAAGTGCTATTATAACAATTGAAGTTGTGAAGCTCCAGTAGGTTTTTCATGCAGTATTAACTTTATAAATTCTTTATGATCCAACAAATTATATTAAAGAGGAGTTTTTTCTTTATAGTCTAAAGAAATAAAGGACTTTCTACCTAACGCTGTGATGCTATAAAACGTATACTTCAAAGTAAAAAGCTGTATAACTAGCTATAATGAATAAGGGAAGACAAAGCAGCTATAACTTAAGCTTACGAATCAAAAACTTTCGAATATAGCTGATAAATACAGTTATTTATTTTAAAATTTACTAAGGAATACCTTAAAGAAAATACTATAAACCAACAAATATTTATTCATGAACTTAACATTGTTACAAAATTTTTTGTTACCTTTTAAAAAGTAATATATTAATATTTTATCGTGACATTTTTTTTGAAAATTTACAAACCAGAACACAGACGAAAACAACTAAAGCACCAGTAGTTGCAGTTAAAGCTAGAATTCCACACAAACAGAACGTTAAACTTTAAACTTTAAAAGTCCCAGAAGGCCTTAGCTACCATAAGAAAAAAAAAATAGTAGGACCGCAGATAATACTGATATACAACGAATAGGATAGTGGAAATAGTGGGAGGCTTACAGGGATGACAGTTTTAAAGCTGTTGAAAATAAGGGATTTATTGTACTTTGACTACAATGAGTATCGAACGAAACATTATACAAGATTTGGTCAAATCAACTATAATTTCTTACACGGAGGGAGAGAATAGCTGCTGTGGTAAATATTTTCTATAAAACTTGAGTATTTGTAAGCGTGTCGTTGCAAAAATCTTTTTTCCTTTTCAATCAAAGCTAACTTTTATGAGGTGTTACTTTTAACTACTCTTTCTCGCGGTTCTTTGGTTTGAACTACAGCTCTTTTAATCGACGAGGTGAAAAAACAGGATGGATTAAAATCTACTAAATTCTTCGCGTTGCATCCAAGAAGGGCGAAGAGGCACGTAGCTCAATATACAATTATTTTTGCGGTCACAATCCTTTTAAGCCCTCACTTTTACAAACATTGGTTTTTATGATCGTGCCATATGACTATTATAATTCATGACATAGCGTTTTAATTTTTAATTGTACTTGCTCGACAATAGCCAAAAAAAAAATAAGAATTTTGCATGGCAAATCTCATTGTCCTTGAAATTCCACTTACTGAAGTTCACAAAATTCTTACAATATTTTAAAAATAAAGATAACACCAAAATCGCTTCTGGCAGCAGTTGAAAATTTGCAAAAAAACCCGTGAGTGGATTTCCCGGGAGCATAACGGGCGCAGTAAAGCGATTAACTTAATCTATTACATTACTCTGGGCATAAATAAGCAAAAGTATATTGACCTTACAAGATCAGATATTCGTCTGTTGCCGCATAAGTCGAAATGATTTTTAGCTAGGTTTGATCACCGTGTTCGGAAGTAAAAATTCATAATCAACTTCAAAAACTTTAAAACAATTCAGCTAGTGGTTAACTTTACAATAACTAGCCCGCAGTAGCAGAAAAGTGTCGCATCCGGAGGAAAAGAAGAGGCAGTAGTTTTCTAGAACGGTAAAGGGGATTCCTTTAGTTGACTTACTTTTTTAAAATTAATAATTTTCTGCACTAGGTTGCAGCAAAGTTTAGAAACCGTTAAACCTTACGCGGCTTAGATAAACGTACTTTTTTGAAATTCTTTACTAGATATCAGAAGCGTTTGAGAGTCGAAGAAGCAGTGAATCTGAAAACTTAAGGGACTAATAAAACTAATTTTTCCTTGAACTATACTCGGGACCAGCACGATAAAAAGGCTATACTTAAGTTAGATGATGCATTTATAATTTTGTTACTTCACTTTGTAATAAATATAACTGATAGCAGAACAGAAATTAACTTTTATTTCTTATTCTGTATATATTGGAGAATCGATGTTCCTTAAGATTGTCGAGGCCTCTCTCCATAAAATCTTCTTTACTAAGCAAAAGAGAGTGGAACTCGTCTTCCTCACGTACAGTCCATTCGCGTGCGCCCTGCCAGGCGCTGTAAAGCGGGTTGCTGGCTGTAGTCACATTTATTACTGCGCTGTAGTGTTATCAAGGAATAAGTGATTTTTTCTGCTTCAGCTGTAGAAAGACAGATACCCAACAGGGCGGATCATTATTAGTTCTCTCCGAATTCTTTCTGCCAATCCGGACAACCCGGCCAAACCTCCGCACACATGAACATTCTGGTGGTGTGCTACTTAGTGTCTAAGTCTTAGCAGCCAACAAGTTTCCACCTGACACAACTTTTCTTGCTGCTCACTCGGGTAGCTTTTTAATAGCCACTCAATACTTTCAATAAGCCCGGCCCTATCACTGCCAAATATGGCTGGCTGCCGCAAATAAAGGTTAATAAGGAAACAATAAAAGTTAAACGCTGCCAACTAATAAGCCAAGCTTTACAAATAGATACAAAAAGTAGTAAGAAACTTGAAATAATAATTCGGGAGCTCGAAAGGCCTCCGTGCCGAGTCGAAGTTGATGATACTCTTCGATAGTAAGCGGCTCGTCAACACTAAAAACATACAGTTATAAAAGTGATAATATAAGTAATAGCCAGACACCTTTTATAGTCGGGATCGTACTTAAACAAAAGTTCTTCTATTTTTAGGAGCTCTTCTTGCTCGTGCTCACTTTCGGAATCGGACTCTTTACTCTATTGAAAAAAAAAGTGAGTGAATGCGAGCTACTGAATAAGCGTGCGCACACTTTTCATACTAAATTTCTATTGGCTATATGCACACGTAAAAAAAAGTACGATATTCCGGTAAATATCGAAGTCTGAGTCGTTCACACCGAAGAGATCTTCTTGTTTTCTGCGCTTTGCTTTATCTTTTTTGCCTTTTGCCTTATATTTTGGTTATCTTTGTTTATTTTTGATTATGCTAATATTGTACATCTTCTACTGTTTGAGTCTGTTGCACTATTAGCCTCATTCGCTGCTTCGAGGCTTGACTTCTCCGGTCATTCAGCTCTTCTCTCCGTTTCTTGCGCATCTCTCGTCGACGCATGAGTTTCTCAACAAGAAAAGATAAGAGTAAGGAAACCTTTAATAAGAAAATGGAGAGAAAGTCGATTTACAGAGCGCATATCCTTTAATTCCTGCAAGTATTGTTCAGGATTATTTTGTCGACGGAGTTCTAATTGAGCGTCCTGTTCTTCCTATAAAGAATAACAATGAACAATATAAAAAGTAAAAAATTGTAAAAGTAAATGACTTAAGGGCAGCAGTTACTAAGAAATAAAAAAAAAACTATTATCAAACAATACTAAAAACCACTAACATGTAATACATAACAGTAATAAAACAATTGCGCTCACTTTCTCTTGCTGAAGTTGCTGGCGAATTTTTTTAGCCCTCTCGCGTCCCTCAGCGGCATTCTAAAATCGCAATAAAGCTGAATGGCGGGCGTTTTATATTAAATGAGATTAAACAATAAAATTTTTTTAGGTTCGTTTATAGTACATCTTATTGGGTCATAACTTATAAAGTATAACTCCTCTGCTGAAACGTTTTATGTTTGATTTTATTGGACCGATTGAGCATTGATAAATTATACTGAAATACAGTTAATACTATATTTGTGACAAGTAATAAAAAAAGCTGGCAATCTTTATATATTTTCTATAAACCGGTTTAAAATGTTATAGAAGACTAATATAAAATAAAAATATTGAAAAGGTTAATAAGAGATATATCTTCTATTAATCCTTTTTTTTTTATTAAATAACTTTTCTTGTCGCCACTTTAATAGGGAAACTTACGTTTTATATTTTATGATTTATACATTAAACCTTTAAAAACAGTTGTTTCTTTTTTTCTTTTAGCTGGTCACTGTCAAGCTCGCTATCAGAAACGTTTATCAAATCAAATACATATTCTTTCTAAGGCCAGGATATAATTTAGTAGAGAGAAAAAAATAATTATGGCTTTTCATAATATGTATATATATATAAAGTTTATAACTCAGAAATATATATTTTTAATAATAGAATATTATAGTGCTAATAATAGAGAAAAACCCAGGTATTTTTGAGTGCCCGCAAGAGTGAAATTAATACTATTAATAATAGCAATAAACCTTTATCTCTTCTTCTGGAGGTTCGGAGTGGCCGTTCAGCTTTGCCTCAACCTTAATTACTTTTATGATAAAAAAATAAATAGACAAAGTCATAAACTATAGTAATAATAATAGTAATAATAATGAAAGTAATAATAATAATAATAATTACTTGATTGTTTAACTAAACGAATATTCTTTTCCAAATTTACCACATTCTTTATCCCTGCTTCCTTCATTTTCGCCTTTTATGTAAGTCTTATTATTATTATTATTATTATTATTATTATTATTATTATTAGTGTTTTCTGCTGCCACCTTAACTTTAGCATCAGACGGCGACTTTTCGAGGGTTCTGTATAAAACCAACCTCTCCGAAAGTTCTGCAAGCTACAAACATACTCAGCAATAGCCAATAGGAAGGCAGCAGAGAACGAAACTTGCTTTTCTCGTTTGGACTTGATATACTCTTTGATTCGTTGGGACTGTTCCTCTCGCCGTCGCCGCTTTTCTTCTTCAGGGACACCACTGCTTTCCTGTTTATAATAAAAGCTTTATCATTATTATTACTATTATCACCATTATAATTGTAATTAATACAGGAACAACAAACGGAAGCTGAAAAACAATTTCGTTAGCGGAATGGTAAGATTCGTCCGTCCACTTTTTTAATTCCGCTGTGTAGTCTTCAGCTACAAAAAGTTTATTTTGGATTTGCTGGAAAAATAATATTTGTTACTCGTACAAAATAAAAAAGTGGTATTCAAAGATTTATAATTAAAATTAAATTATAAAAATTATTTAACGAAAATCAGATATAAATTTATAATAAATTTTAAAAATAAACAAATGTGTATTAATAAATAAAACTTGTTTATAAGTTATTAAAAAAATAAAAAATTATAAAAGTTAAAAAACGATAAGTTTGTATACATAATGAAAAATTTTTCTTATAAAAATTAAAATTAAGAAAAACTTTTATTTTATCTCCCTGAAGAGCTGACTTGTGCTGAGGATACTTTAGATGAAGTAATTTAGTAAGATAGTCGCTTAATTCAAGACCAGAAAAACTTAATCTAAAGGTTAGACAAAAATTATTATCACAATAATTTCATATCTTCAGACAAAAATAAAAAACTTCTAATATAAATATTATATAACTTTTCAAAAAGTGAAGTAAAAAAGTAAATTTTGGTTGTAAAATTTAATTTCCTTCATCACTAGTATAAGGAAAAAATAACCGAAAATTTATTTTCCAACAACTTAAATCTGTACAAAAAAATAAGATTTACAGAAGACGAAAAAAATAATTTAATAAATTTTGCATAAAATTTATTTGCATAAAAAAACGTAGTAATATTAACAAAGAATTAATTTAATTAGAAGTAGATTATAATTTATAAAAAAAACATCACATCATCGAATCCTAAAGTGAAGTAGACAAAAAATTTATACTATTCTATACAAAAAGATCAAGAAAATACTTTAAGTTTTAAATGAAAAAATGAATAACAAAATCTCACTTACAAATCACATTAAAATTTTTATTAACGTGACAAAGTATTTAATTTTGTTATTGAAAATAAATTTATTACAAAGTAGGATACAAATTGTTTTATCCAATTTAACAATATTCGCATTAAAAATATAAATTAAGAAAATTTAATTTATATAAAAAAGAATAAATTAAAGAGTAGAGCTTTGCAGAAAGTTTTTTTAAAATTATCAAACATATAGTAACTTAAAAAAAATTAAAGATCGAACTTTAATCTAATTTTATTATATTCATTACTTTGTATATTTTCATTTTCATTATTATATATTTTAATAATAATTTTATAAATAATTCAATTAATTGAATACTATTATATCATCAGCTTTATAATAAAAATTTAAAAAAAAGGAAAAATATAAAAAACTACTACTCTTAGTGATAATAGTTAAATTACCTTTTTAAAGAAAATAATAATCGTAAACTATAATTAATAATAAATTATAATTATCCAAAGAAAAAGTCAAAGTAAAAAATAACAAAAAAACAAAAAGATAACTACAACTTTCACTAAAAAAAGTTTATTATACAAAGTTTAAAAGATGAATATTATTTAATTAAATTAAAAATTAATTTTATAAGAGCAGAAAATTAAATATAAATATATAAGAAAATGAAAGTGGGGTACACCAACTTTCACGTAATATATATATTAAAATAAGTTTATAAGAATTAAAAGCACATTAAATAAAAGTAAATTGGTTAAAATAAAACCAATAAATTAAAAAATTTAAAAAAAATAGAAAAGTAAACTTGATGAGTTCAAGACAAATTTGTGGATGTGAAAATGAGTAAAAGCAATTTATAAAAGTAAACATAAAAAATTCTACGCATCAAAAATTGAACGTTTAAACATTTGATAACTGACTTGCGCAGATATGAGAGACTATAAAAAATAAGCAGATAAAACTTCAACAACTTTAAAACAACCTTCTAAGAAAAATTAAAAACATATCATGGGGTGGATGACAAATATAAAATAAAAACAGATTATTTGAAAAGAAATAAGAAAATTTCAATAGAACTTGACAACTTCTGACGCCGCAAACATTGAAAGAAAAAAAATTATAAAGAAAAAATTTAAGGTGAGTTAATAAATGTTCCATATAAAAGAATTAGTCTATATAAATAAACCATATTGAAATAAAAATTGGAAACCTTCTGGCGTTGGAGACGTCGAAACTGCCGTCAATAATTGGCAGTATGTGAGTGGCTGAGTGAGAACAGGAAATCACAAGGCCATTCGCCTTAAAACAAACAGAACCATATATTAGTAAGAAAAAATTCAAGTATAATAAAATTAGAAAAGGAAAAAAAAGTTACTGTTCCTACACTCTTACAGATTTTGAAATAAGTTACCAATAACTAAATGCTCCACAACTAAACTGGTAATAAATATAAAATTTTTGATTACTTAAAAAAAATTGAGAAGTTAAATAAAAACAAAGAGAAAAAAATTCAAATATAATAAATGGTATAATTTAAGAGATCCCAATAAATATTTAATTACAAAGTAGAAACCTGAAGAATTATATAAAAAAGTTTAAAAGCTACTAATAAAATATAATTATAACAATAAAATTTATAAAGATGAATTGATATTACGTACCATATTAGATTCGAATTCATTTATTACATTAGAATGATAAAAACTAAAAAGACCGTCAACGCCGAATGTTAAGCTTGGGCAGCCGTAGCACTCAAATAGTAACTCAGCCATTCCTTTTTAATAGCGATATATTATAAATAGAAATAATTATAAAGTTATGCTTCCAATAAGAAATAAGCAAATTAAAAAATACTTTCTCGGCAGTAAAAAAAGTTACACACTGTTTCTGTTATAACAACGGGATGCGAAATGGAAGAACTGTTAATGCCTAGTTTGGCAAAGGCGTAATCAAACAGATCTTCCTATTGTGAAGTATTTTTAAAATTAAAAATAAAAAAGGAAAAAAAGAGAAACCTGGGTGCTAAAATTTGTAACTACCCCACGATCGAATAAAGTTCGAAAAGAGTACTTAGAGCTCTCTGGATCAAGAATATCGTTTCCTACAATTGTTGCTAAAAAAGGAAAAATGCAGGTCATATAATATCTCATATATAAAGTCTACATCCTTATAACTTTATTATATTTTACCAAGACGGCCTTTAATCTTAGTTCTAATAGATTTACTGGGAAAGTTCAAAGAAGGTTCTGGTTCCGAAGCCCACCCAACTTTACATGAAAAACTTCCTGTTAAAAATTTCGTTATAAACTTTTATAAACTACATTTTTAAAGGTTATAAAAGCATAACCATTATCTATAATCAGAGGTGTTTTTTTTTCAAAGCATTTATATACTTGTACTACATCAGGATGAGGTACTGGCTCAAAGAGGGGTACTATCGGTTGAAAGTTTTAAAAAAAATTATTGCCATAAAGATTCTATATACACACCAGTAGTAGATTTACTACAACCCATAGTGAAGTTAAGCGAGCCGTGAGCAAAACGGACAAATTTAATAACGGTTTCTCACTAAAGCCCCGTTCTTATTAGAAAAGTTAAGGGCTCCCCTGGCTAAGTCGCCCTTTGCCCATATACACGTTCAGCCCTTATTAAACAAGCTGTCTAAATAGTATAATAGGAGATTATGTTATTTAATACACAACATTCACCCTATTTGACGTAAACTTGTATACTTTTTTTTAATACCTTAAACCTAAAACTTAATCATTTTTGTTTATCTTTTACATTTTATCGAGAAAAGAAGGCTTATAGTTGAATAAAAGAGACCAATACACTATATAGATATGCCACGATGTGCATATATTTAGTCAAAAATTGATAGTTACGCCAAACTCTACAAAAGCTTATTTAAAATCAAAGAAAACCCAATTATTAAAATATGAACAGTTATGTTCTCTACGAATTTTTCTGTAGATTTGAACGTGTCTTCTATGGAGAAGCTTGTGTTATACCCGAATTTTTGTCTTTTAGGGCATAAACAAGGTTAGGTTGACCAGACGCCGTCGGGCCTCCATCAGAGAGACTCCAAACGTCTTAAAACACACCATGAGATAGTAAAAATTGCAAAAACGGCTTTAGTTGGCTCTAACAATTACAAGCTTGACTCACGGGTTCAACTCAATATAGTCTTTATGTGCAGGGAATCTAAAATTTACTTTGAAAAAGTCTAACCAAACAGAGTAAAAAATCTAATTACTTAAAGGAAATAATTAATTTAACTAAAACTGACTGATTCCATATCGCGATTGCATAGGACTATTTTAAAGTTAAATAATGTTTCATAAAGTTCATATTGTGTAAATTGGTAATATTTTGACTTATTAATTTACCTAAGAGCTTCTTGAAGTATGGAAACTGATTGTTAACGCAGGTGCTTAAGGGGTTTGTAAACGCTTAAAGCTGCCTGTACGTAATGTCGAGGGTTGAGCACTTTAGGGCGCATCACTACTTCCTTTTTTGTTTGCTTAATTTAGGTGATGCTTGTTGCGAGGCAGCTCTACAATTATCAAATAGATTGAGGTTTTATATATACGACAAACCTATATAACGCTTTTTGTTTATCTATAATTATAATTTTTAAAACATTAAGCTTGTAAAATCGACGAAGCGAAGAATTTGATACTAAAGAACACTGATCCACTTCTTCCAACTGCAAACTTCCCTCTGTTGTTAGTTTCGCAAATGTTAGAGTATAAAACAAAATATTAGGAAATCGCGCATTTTATGCCTACCGGCTCTCCTTACCTTACTGCAAACATTTTATAAACATCGGTAAATATTCATTTTAACTTTTAAGGTTAAGCATTTCATAAGCAATAGTTATCGCTTTCTTGAAGTTATTTTATGTCAAGCAACATTTTACTGCCCAAAAAACTCTACTTTGTCATTGTTAAAGTATCCTTTGATATAGTAGGCAGCGCAGAGTCCAATTTTCGAGATAATTTATTGATAGAGCTAGTTAACGTATTATTTTGACTAATTCAAACACAAGGTTTTTCTATCTAAATTAGTTCTTGTCCTGACCAAGCTAATCCTGTCCTTAATCTCAGTTAAGCTCAAGTCTTGATGGGAGTTAACTTTTCTTAACATTATAAAAAAAAGCCAAAAAGTCGCTTTAGAAAGAGAGCAACGAAATTTGACTTTTTCATCTGACTTTTTCATCTGATTACTAAAGTTGTGAAAGTTTAAGTTATATGGCACTATTATACAAATGTTACGAACATTTAAACTTAACAGGTTACTGAGCGATTCTTTACTACTTTACCTTACCCGTAAGATCAAATTAGGAACTTATATCCTACTTGAGTGTTACTCTGCGTGTAAATAGTTCATTTACTGAATAAATTTCTAAAAAAGAGTTTTGTTTACTGTTCAAAGACTGTTATTTTTTTTAAATTCAATACTGCAAACAATGTGACACTAACTTGATACCAAAAACGTCTGAGTGCAGCATTGATAGAGAGATAAACGTGGTTCCCAAACTTTTTATTAAAGACACGTGTTGCTGGCTACGGACCATGCGCAGGAGTGTCTTCATTTGGCCTTATGTCGCCGTACTCCCAGATGTTGCGCTAAAGTGAAGACTTCGTTACTTTTTACTAGTAACAAAAGCGTTGCAACGGATACCCTTTCCTGCAGAGCTTGCTCTCGCATTTTTCGTACTCATCAAGAAGAGCTTTAAACTTACTGCCTCTGCGTCTCTTGCACAGCGCGAGGCCTGTTAAGATATTTTTACCCCGAAAATGTCTAAAATTTACAACTACTACCATTTAGAAGAATGGTGGTGCCCACGTCGACTTTGGTTTCTGGATCCGTAAGAGTCCCATAATCTTTCCCATTTTCTTGATATTTAATGTTTAAGAGAAAAGACTTGTCCTAACAAAGAAACCAGAAATGTGTAGAGTCACTACCCCTCAACTTCTGCAGGAAAATTTACCAAAAGAAGTTCTGAAACAAAGTCAAGCGCCGCGGCGGCCCAGTCCTCGTCGTCTGGCTCAGCCAGTAACGCTAAGCGCCTACAGAGTGTAACATGTAGAGAGCAGAGTTCTACAAGGGAAACAGCACTGCTAAACACTGTACAGCTCGCGGGCCAGCGGAGGGGGTGACCAGAAGGCTTCAGGCAGTTCGTACAGATTGTCGAAAGAAGTTTCCTCTTTATTGCCGTAATCAATATAAAAGATATGGGCCGTGCGCTTTTCATTGTCCACCACTTCGATACGTGCGCGGTAAAACACGTTATCGCCAAACTTGGCGCAGCAAAGGGCGTTAACGACGGGCCAATAATCTGGTTTAAAGATGACAAAAAAAAAACGAAAAGGAAAAAAAAATTAAGTGCACCCTGCGAGGGGGCGCGGCCAGTAAAGGTTTCATTTAGACGCATAAGGTCGGGCTTCAGCTCGTCCAGTTTATCCGCCGGCTGAAACCACACGTGTGTTGGTGAAGTGACCTCGCTCACATGGACCTGCCAGCCAATAAGAACAACCATTAGACAAGGAAACTACAGAGCTTCCTGCCTTTTGGTATTCGGGCATTTTATCATGGTGTTCTCCTTCGCCATCGCTGGCGGTGCGCTCCGTATAGTTCTCCCATATCTTTAATCTTGTACAGCATTAATCCTGAAATAAAGAATCGCAAGGATGATAACACGAGCGCCCACCTCTCTTCAATAGCGGCTCTTTCAGCTTTATACAAGTCTTGTTTGTAGAGCAGACGAGAGGCCGACGGGCGAAGCGAGGCCAATCCGCTCTTGAGAAGCTGGAGACTGAGATTCTTCCAGACTTGCATGGTGAGTGTGTATATAAGATGATAAGCTGGCAGCCAAAAAAATATACCGCCGCTGTGCTTTACCCAGAGACTCCCCGTGTAGCTTCCGGCCATGTCCAAACCATCGACCTGTATTTCCACCTGTCATGAGAGAGTTCGATTGTTTCGATATAGATGATGAGTAATAAAAAGAGGTACATCTCGTTGAAAACACAAGTTTTTAGTGAAATTGTAGGCTTCCTCTGCATAAGGTTCAGGTGGGGCCCCGTCCCCAGCGTTTTTCGACAGTAATCTAAAAGTATTAAGGCTCGCATGGCTCAAATATGCCGACTAGCGGAAAAGAGATTATACCGTGGGCACCTGATGCCGGAGAGAATAAAATTAATTATCAGTTTATCCTGAATGATGAGAATCCTGTGCAGAATAGTATCCTGTTATTACTGGTGCCCTTGGTATAATCAGCAACAAACTTTAGTCGAGAGCCGTGGAGGACTCCCTCAACCATCGCAGGAAAGCGCATTTTATTATGTCGGACGAGTGGCAGATGCTGCACAGCTTCCTCATGAGAGGTGACTTCCACAAACCTGCAGGAACGAGAATCACGGCGGCAGCCTCCCGGCAGAGCTAGAAAGCCGGTAAACCAACCTGTGGACAGGCGCTTTGTTTGCAGGCTGGTGTACGCCTTTGAGTTGCGCCTTAGCCGCCGCTTCAGCGCGGACAAGAGCTTCGTAGTGCAAGGAACGGTCATTGTCATTCATTCGGTGGGGGATGACCTTCGCCAGACCCTTGCCAATCAAAGCCTCACCCACGTTACAGGACCCCAGCATGATAGTGCCTAAATGGCTGTATAAGAAACGGGCAGGGCGGGACCGTCGAAAGCAGGGTCATACACATCTTTTTCGGAGATGCACCGGAGAGCGGCGCCCGAAGATAGTCGACTTTGACAGATACTGTTTTTCCTAAAAGCTTGTGACGGAGAAACTCTCTCGCTTCAAACAGCCTTAAAAAAAGAAGCAACGCTTACATACGCATACGTAGGGCAGCGCGTTCTACATAGAAACCATGGAATCTGGTAGTATTGAAGGCGAGGCGCGGAAGAATCGCGAGCCTCTGCAGCTCTACTTTCCCCGGTCGGCTGGTCTCTTCCAGTCTTATAAGTAAAGAGAGCTAGTGATGACCCCGAGAAGTGCTGGGTGTAGTGGGAGCACCTTCCCTGAAGCTGCAGTAGCGGCCTGTGGCTGGCGAAGAGAAGAAAAAAAGATCCTTTCTCGAGTCCCATCAGTGACTCTTCTTATTACGACGGATGCTCCATTCACAATTTCTTCGACCTTATAGGAAAATAATATTGCGATAATAATAAGACAAACAACTATCAGAGTTATAGGCAGCACCACGGCCTGAAATTCAGAATTGTCCAGCTTACAAGCGGAGCTGGCAGAATACTCTCTAAATAGGCGCCACCGGTACTGCTTAGCGAAAGACTCCGCTATGGTACGTGCAAACACGGAATATCAAAGTTAAGCTTCTCTTCTGCTCTTATAAGAGGCATGTATAACCCGCCCGGTAGCTCGCTTGGCACTTGGGAGAGACATACTTCATGCTCCACTCCACAATCTTGGCAAATCCCTCCTAGTTGAGGTCAACGACAGTCACTTCGAGAGTGGCGGGCAGAAATAGAACCTTCAACAGACACTCGCTTATGTTGCCAGCGGGATGCATAATCGTTCCTAAAAAGATGCCGTTCAAAGTACCTTTGCACAGGGATGGCTTGAAGATAAACGTAACCCTCGGCTAACAACAGGGGTAGTTTGACCTTGCAAGTGGGCTAGAACGGTGCGGTGCAACAAACGGACTTCCGTAAAGTACTTTGCCTCTTCATAAAACTCTGGATTGTCGGGGTCGTCTTTGGACGGACACTTGATCCCTGGAAGTGCCGTAAAGAAGCCTGCCAACAGCCAGAATAGCTAAAAAGTGGTGCACCCGAAAGACTTAGTGTGGCGTAAGCAAAGGACGGCAGCAAAAGAAGGCGCAAGGAAGAGCCATCTTTAACATTTTCGACTACAGCTGCTCGCAAAGAGGGCAAAAAATTAAATAAAAAAGTTTAATTAAAAAAAGGAAATCGACTACCCTCGAACTGCTTTCCAAGGTAGTCCTCCGGATTAGTAATTTGCCAAGTAATAGTTCGAATAGCCCCAGCGGACTTGGGTTGAAACATACCTACTTTGGCTAACTTCGCTTTGTTTTCCAGATTGATTAATTCTCTATGCTTGCTAAAAAAATATTATTTTAAAAGTTAAAGGTATAAAGTCAACAAGTTACTCAGGAGAATTCGGTGTTAGTTCTCTAACACGAACAGCACCTTCAGAAACGAGTTGTGCAGTAATATCATGACCGTTAAGGAGAATTGAACCGTAATCTCGCGCAACAGCGGAATACAATACGCAGAATAACACATCTCTCCCGATGATAAGTTTGCGAAGGGTTTCCCTGCTTTGCCAAGCGTAGGGCTGAATAATATATGCTTAATCAAAAACACAATAACTAGTGATATAAAAAAGATTCAAAATAACCTCATCGTTAAATAATTGGCCATTTTCAGTTGGTCTTCGAGCTAACTTAGGAGCAGAAACGTAAGCTAACTGTAGAATTTTTTCGGGAGGCAGGCCTGCCAATACACAAGGGTTATCCTTAGTATTTATATAAAGCGGCCACAGAAGTGAATAAATAAGAGATCAAAGGAAAATCTTTGTTGCTGCCTTGATCTGGATGGCCTCTTATTATAACAGTGTCACCACTTAAGATGGCTTTGCAAACTCCTGGAATAAACTTTTTCTCTGGTTTCATCCTCAAATATTCGAGATGGACTTTTCTAAAGTGTTCTTTAAAAATAATGTCAAATAAATGCTAAAAATAACGGTTAAACAGCAGTCCTCTTTTGGAGAAAAGCTCTGAAGGTGTAATATAAAATATGAAATTAAAAAGAGGGGGCACTTTAAAAATTAAAATAATGGTTGTCTAAAAGGAATTAAGTCATCAATATATTGAAACCCTATCTACTGAATAAAGTAAAACTTAGTAAATACTTAAATAAGAGCGTTGGTATCTTCAATGCCAAGAAGTCGCACGCTCTTTTTTTAACTTATTCTTTTACCTGCAGCGCTTAAAAACGGCGCCTGCAAGCAGTCTGCATCAACTACTTGCTAATGTACATCGCAAATATGCGGGGCGAAGGGGTCTGACATTTACGAGTAAATAAAGCCGAAGTCCTTTATTAACGAAGCTAAACTTAAAGTAGATAATTTTACACGGTTATGTGATATATTCGTGCAGGAAGGACCTAAAACGACATATTTTACAAAACTACCTACACCAATTAAAGAGTGTAAATAAAGTGGTTCTTCTAAAGGCAGGCTGTTCCTCTGGTATTGACAGTTATTAGGTACATACCAGATGGTTCTCGTTGCGATACCTTGGGAGATATAATTATCGCAGTGTTACGTGTTGTTTAAGCATGTAAACGTAATTGTCTTCATTTTCTTTATTTTTTCTTAAGTATATTGAGTTGAAGGGTTTTAACCAGATGACTATTGTAGTTGGTAAATGTGCGCAGGTAGACACCATTATGAACGTCTTTAAAAGATCTAATTTAATTTTTATTATAATACCAGCTGAGGCACCCTTTGACATATACAATCAAGTTTTAGAAGTAATTTTAACACTTTAAACCGGGAGTAATATTAGAAAATATAAAAGTTAATACTTTTTTGCAAGTGTTAAAATATTAAGGAGCCTACAGATAAAAATACGCACACGGACACGAATAATATAAAAAACAAGAGAAGGATTAAAAAAGAAAAATGAAAGAGCGATTATTACTATTTTATTATTAATGATTTTTGCAGAGGCTCGTACATCTCTAGGAGGGCTATCGTGAGTAATCTGATGCAGTACGTAGGAGCCTTCTGGTCACCCACCGCATACTAACCAAGGACCTGCAGGTTTGACTTCTTAAAACGGACGGGTTGAAGTACTTCTCGCCAATGCACTTCCCCCTAGTATTTATTCTGGTAGTATTAGCTTTTTGATATACATTTAATTAAATTATTCAACTTTGTTTAAATTCTTTTACATAAAAAATAAACGAAAAAATGTCCATATTTAGAAACTTGCGTTTGCATTAAATCCATCTTACCAGTTTGCGTAGTGCGGATTGGCTAGTTTTTGTTAGAAAATCAGCAAGCATTTCCTTAGTAGGGTAAAATATTGATGTTTCCCTTCTCCATAATGTTCTTGACGTAATAATATTTCATACAATATGCCTTGATACTTTCGTTCCACTACGATTTTTGGCAATATGTATACTGGGCTACTTATCAACGTGCGTTACTATCAGAGACTTTCCATAATAGCCATGTTTCCGCAGCACTGAAAGCGCCAGTGTAGCCCACTTAATAGTTTCAGCAAGGACCCATATACTCAGTCTCACGGGGAGAAAGAGCAACCACTGCCTGTTACTTTGGAGATTTACGATTTTCCTCAGACACACTTGCTTCTGAATAAACTTGAATACCAATTTTGCCCTTCCTTGAAGATCTTATTGAGAGAACTGGCGCCATTACGGTACCTTAAAACGATTTTCGCTGCCTTCCGATGTTCTTTGCCAAATGAACTGAGGTGTTTTGATAACTTATTTACCACCAACTATATGTCTGGCCTAGTGCATGTGGTAGGATATCAATCCCAGTGCGGGTACCATTATCTTGAGTTGACTGCAGCTTTTCCAAAGTAACTTAGTGCATAGGGTACTTCACAGGTTTGTGTTCATATCATAGTTAAATGAAAATAAACTTTTCTTGGGTCACTTCAAAATTTTCGAAATGCTTAAAAATTTAGTCTTAGAAAAACTGAATCAGAGACCTCGGTGATACCCTCAATATTTTCCATTTTTACGGGGCTAGCTCTCCTCATTAGTATTGACTTTAAAGTAATCTTTTTAGAGCATGGCTATTACTACTTAGTTTTTCGGCTATGTATGACAGGCAAGACTCGTTTTTCATCTCTTAATCAAGTTTATTAAGCTTGTACCCTTTGTACTTCAACCATACCATAATAATTCCGGTTCTTTGGTATAATATAACCTTTACTAGTTTCAGGCATTTATTACCCACCACCAAAGGGTGAATAGGTATAGGATATAATACATGTCGGTATACACATAAGCATTTCTCGCATTGGGCTGTAATCGTTGGTAAGTCATCTGATGTGCCCATGCTTCGACTAGTCTGATCGCTTCCCTAGTGATTACGGGACAAGTTGTTTCAATGTAGCCCATACCCGTAATTGGAGGCCCTCTGGCGCACAACCTCGATTTTAGCTTTTCATCCGACTTTACAGAATATGTCCATGTGGTTAATTTATGACTTACCTTTAAGTCCTTGAATATTTCCTCAAGTACCACCCTCAACCAAAGGTTTAAGTTTTGTTAGCAATAAAAATTCCCGTTCCTCGAAGGTCACACGATAATTTCTTGTAGAACTTCGCAATTGTTTGGCTCTTGTATTTCTTCACTTTAACCCTAATCCGTAACCATTAATAAACTTGAACAGTCTGCACCGTGTCCGAGAATCAATTTAGTTTCCATCTCTTGCTAAGAAAACCATGTACTACGTCTCTCCTGGATCCAATCCGAAACTTGGTCCTACCTTCTTCGTGGCTTTCATTTTCTCTCGCGAAGTTCTTCTTCTCACTTTGCTGGAGTCGAAGGCTAGTTTGATTATTATAATGTTGGAAGCACTTGTTTTAGGCTGGCCATAAGAAACCAGAGGTTTATCGGGAGTAATGATATTAACTAATAACTATTATTAATAATTCTAAAGTTTCTGCTCTTTATAACTTTTTAAGTTGAATAGTCATAAATGCGTCTGCCTCCCCCATAAGTGTTTATAGCAGGACCTAGTAGGATCCTCTTCTAAAGGAGGATGGTATTTTACCATACCACCATGCCTGTAAAACATAGGTGCACCAGACATGTATAGGAGTCTATCCTTAGTATGATTTTTTAAAATTTCTCACAACTCTCAAAATATACGTTTGTAACAAACGCAGCGTTAAAGCTTCAGCCCAAAAGCGTTCGATAATCCAGCTCTGTGAATCATGATCTATGCCATTTCCTTAAAAATTTAATAGTACCTTTCTACAATTGGAATCTGCTAAGATGCTTTTAGAGATATAAATGATCGCTTAATTCTCCTTTGAATGTACTTTCTCAGAAAAAGAAGCTTTTTCAAAAGGTTTCCATCGAAAATTTACCAAACATCAGGGCCACAGAAGATTTTGATGGCATCGATGCAGTCCAGAGAAAGCCTGTATTCTGGCATATTACGGTTAGACTGTATACTGTCAGTCCTAGTTACTCGTCCATGGGCCACACATATATAAATTCAATGAGATCCTGCTGGGAGTCCATCATAAGTGAGACCGCTCGAACTCACGATTCAATTTTATTTCTGCTCAAGAAACACAGGAAGTTTTTCATTTTCATATTGGCGCCCTATTTATTAAAATTCTCTTGGTTTGTTTTCTTTATTACGCCCTAAGATATCAATGCCATTTATGTATAGAGCGTAATGCTTGGGCCTCGTCTAGGTTGTAACAACCGTTTAAATTTCTGGTGGCACTCAAAACAAGTTTCAATAAAGATATGTTTGAAAAGAATAACAGGACAACGTCCAAAACTACTATAAGATTACCGTGACTGTGTCGCAAAAATCTGCTCTTAAAAATGGAAAAAACGCATCCATCTGCAGAAGTCACTTGCATTATATCAACCTAGTTATTGTCACTAATTTTAAGTTAATTTTAATGGTTACTAATTACTACAGTTTATCTGAGTCTTTAACATTTTCTTCCAGACGGCCTTTTATGCATAACTACCCTAGCTAATGCTAACGGAGAAAAATAAACCATGTCTGTCCTCCTTTTTGCAAATGAATTTCTTCTTTGGATGGTTCTAGCCTAAGGACATTCTGAGGGAAGACTTTAATTAAAAAAATTAAGATAATGGTAACTTTTCTTTCTCGATGCCCGCTTGCGCAGGCATCTTCCCCTTGGCTTTGATTGCAGTGTTGTAATCGCACTACTGTGTATTCTATCTATAGAAATCACTTTTTATTTTTTTTTATCTTCAACGCTCGCCTTAGGCCGAGGTTAGCTTAGGAAACCAACTTAGCTCTTCAAACCAATTTAAAGTGGTATTAACCCGTATTGTTAATTATTTTTGTTTAGTAAGTGCCCTTATTCAATTGAAATTAGATTCTATTTAACTATACAATGTTTTTTATTTAATTTTAAAAGATTACTTTTACTACTAGTAATCAGTCACAAAAGTGTTGACTAGGTTTGAACTATCTTAGTAGTATATAAAGTACACTAATACAGTTGACTAGTCATGATACTTACCCAGCGCTATATTAGAACGTCATCAATTATGAGGATTAAGTACTTAAAAGGAAGTACTAAGTTAACTAAAAACCCTTAACACCACGTTACTCATCTTTCGTTGTCAAGCTAATGAAGGATTACGTAATAAGTGATGCTATTTAGCCCTATCTCTGCAGTACAACACAACCTTCAGTAAAGACCTAAACTTAGGAAGGCAGGTAGCAAAGAACGAACGCAAAGGGTATGTGTCCGAGTCTCGTGCATGTGCCAGCGTAACTCTTTTATCTTATTAACATTCTTCAACGCTTGTCTTGCATGGGCATCTTTGGCTATGGCTGCGACCAAAGCGATGTAATCTTTACGCCATTCCGTTTAAATATCTATTCTTGGTAGCGGTTTAGATGCTGTAAGAATAATGTTGTTTCTAGTAAATTTAATTATTTCGCGCTACTTTAGTAGGACAAGTCAGTTAAAATGCCTATGACTATCCCGTTAAGTTACCTTAACCTTAGACTTACTAAACAGAGCGTAACAACCATAATCACGATCATAGTGGTTTAATAATCTCTTTGAAATATAAGAACTAAATACTACCACGATTCGGAAGGATCATCCTTAATAATGATAAAACCGGTCGCTAACTACGTTAGACAATAAAATGTCATGCGGTAATCAATTAAATTTAAAAAAATAGGGAGCTAATTTTAAAAGCTTTAACATTATCACAAACTCTCATTTTTTTAAAGCAATCAGGTAAAATACTTTTGCGTAGTTATTGACTCCCAGACTTAACTGAAAGCTTTTGTTGCAGAAAAAACTAAGACAAACTTCTGCCTTATTTTTTTTTTATATGCAATAATGACTAATTAAATATAAAAAATTAACTCTTTTACATAAAGCTGTTATCAATCACCTTATAAATTACTCATCTGTAGCATGGTCCCACAGTTCAGCGTTGCATTACCACAGACTCCAGCACTTAAAAAAAACTTGTTTTGAATGTTTACTGGCGCGCCCTTAATGTATTCAAACCCGCAATTACACTGTTTGTGAGTTCATACCTCTCCTGCAGTACCTTAAAGGGCAGCTACAAAATGTTTTACTTAAGATGAACAACCTCCTAACAATTTAATAACTATTACAAAAAAAAAAGAAATACTATAGAACTACCTTTTATGACAATTTTTAAAATGTAACCCTTATCCAAATATATCTTAAAAAAGTTGAGTACCCTAACTTCTATAAAACATCTACCAGTTTACTTAATTATTAATTTACGGGGAAAAAAGCAAGAAGAAAAGGATGATGGACGCATAAAATTTAAAAGCATTGCTGTCTTTACGTTATAAGAGATCATCCTGAAGACCTTAAATTTAATAGAGAAGGCTTCCCTCCTCAATCTGCTCTATATGGAGGACGACGGTAGTATGCCAACACGATTAAGTAAGGAAATGAACATATACTTTTTACCAAATTTTTGAAGGGCTTGTGTAGTTTTATTATTATTATTATTACTACAGCCAGGCCCTGTAATATATAAGAGAGCCTAATATACTAATTGATCCAAGCGGGCACGATCGCCTACCCGGAGGAGCTTGCACTATCATAACTGTCCCGAAGGACCGTAAAAGCGGTAAATATCGGGTCCGGATTCCCGCCATTTTGCCTAGTATGTTGGAAACCGCTAAAAACCACCAATGGGATGGCGGCCTTAGGCTCGAGGAAGAGGCCACCTAGAGACACCGGCCAGCACTACTGGTTGCTCTCCCCGACTGCTTGTGTAGTTTGCTTGAAAAGGTTGTTTATATATAACTAGTAAATAGAACTTTTTAATAAGGAAAAAGAGATTCATTAAGTAATCTATAATGTTAACCAGCGTGGGTTAAATTTACATCTTAGTTGCAGGAATATTTCACTAGTGGTATACCTAGTGCCTTATTGGACGTATATAATAAACATTTTGTGTTTCCCCAGCTATAAACGCTGAGTAGTTCCATTGCACTTTTTTAATTTATTTGTAAACATTCAACACCTCTTGAGTAGTGTACACTAATAATAAGTGCTTACTAGGGTACCGAGGGAAAACAACGATAAAATCTTTTTTTTAATTTATTTATTTATAAGGCTCTTCCAGACTTATACTGGCTGAAAATGGTTAACTCCCTTGCTATCCCACCAGTTTTCCACCACGCTAAAGGGTATTTTTACCTTTTAACAAAGTAACATAAAAGTTTTGGAGAACTCTTAGAACATACCTCGCGATGTTATAACTCATTAAGATATCGTTTTAAGTAGCTAATTAAAAAGATCAAGAGAGTACTAAATTTTCATTATTATCTCTAACAGAAAATTATAAAGTAAAAACAGGCCCAGGCAAGCGGTAGCTTGAAATACCGGAATTGCAGTTCGTAAGTAACTTAGGCTTGAGATATATGTTAGGATTTAAGTTGATAGTGGTCGATAAATATTAAAGCAAAAGTAAAGGTTTGAACGATGCTGAAGAATATTATGAGCACTAGTTAAGGCTATGTAATGTATTAGTTCTAAACTCCTGCTTCGCAAAGTTTTTACGATTTAACTATAGCGCCTAAATTTTAACTTATAGAACTCTTTTGTTATATTACTTTGCACTAGATCCGAGACAGATGTTAATCTCCCATCGCTTTAATGCTTTATATGTTGCTCATCTGCTCACATATTATTAATAGGTTTATGTATAGTATCCGGCATCGACTCTGATACGTTAAGTACATGCAATCTAACTTTTAACGGGTGCGCATTGATTCGTAACTCTTTTAGAGCTTCAGTTAAGGGGAATGCACAGTTAACAAATCGAACAGGCACAGATTACAATGCACAGTTCCATAGTTCAGATGTGTTAATAATTTATTTGATACAAGAAAATGATATTATAAATTGCCTTCACAATAGGATGACTACATAAATTGTAGTGGAACTAAGTTAGAGTACGCCAATCCTTCGTGTAAGTTTTTACCTATAAACAATATAATGTCAATTTATGACCAAAACAGTGTAAATCTAGGCAAAATGATGACTAGAGCGCAAAATTTGTGGGACAGCCATATAAGACTTAAATTGTATAACAGCTTAAAACAAACAATTTTGACGAATTATGCCTTACTATTAGAGTCTCTGCCTGTGGGTTCGATAACAGCAGTTAACAACTCGATCGCCCGTTAGGGTCTAACATCGAGGACAAGAAGTTAATATTAATTCTTACTTTTTTTTCGTTCTACTTTGGTAGAATGATCTAATTATCATTTCTATAGTGGTAGTTTGATTTTTTTTTAATTAAGTAGAACTTATTCCCCTGGCATGGGGGATTAATATTTGTCTAATTAAAATATCTTTGTATTGTTGTTTAATCTCCCGTGCAAAAGTTTATAAACCAAGATGATGCAACCTGTTTCCTAATATAATCTATCAGGAAGGAACTAGTAATAATATCAAAATTAGGAAGTAATCCTGGTTAACTTTTTGCTTTGATTATCATACAATTAGTTTGGTTTAAATAACTGAACTAAAGTAACATCTTTATCTCGCCTTTGTGTAATAAATTAGCAAATAAGTTTAGCTCAATAAATAACTTTAAGCAAACTTTAAACGGATTGTATGAAGGAGACACAATAGGTCTCTCTTAACTAAACCTAAGTAACAAATATGGTTAATAAACCATTAAATAACAAGGTTGATTACTCTTGACCCTATTTTAGCCTCGAAAGGTTATAGAAACAGCGCTTATTCTCATTAGTAAACAACTCTAGCACGGCTCTAATTACCTCTACCCATTAAGGCTAACAAATTTTGCACCTAAACCTAATTAAACTTGACTAGTGTGATCAATTATGATAAAGGCATCACTCTTCTATTGGGCAGCTGTGTCTTAGAGGACCTTAACCATTTAATCCTTGTCAGGAAGGTACCCTAATCATTTTATCCTTTAAGTAAGGTACCATAGTCACTATTAATTTTACTTTAAGGAGGGTACCTTAATCTAATTATAATTCAAAAAAACATTTTAGTACTTTTACTTATAACGTATTTTATAACATAAATTATTACATAATTTAAACTGTAATAATTAAATTAAACATAATTTTAAAATAGAATAAGACTTAATTTTACTCAATAATAATTAAAATAAAACATTATAAATAAACATAACTTTACTTAATAATAATTGAAATAAATAAATAAATATAAAATTAATCACTTAAATGTATTGTTCACTAGTTATGTACTACAAAAGTATAAACAAACCATTAAAAATGCACTAAAATTCAATAAGTAAAAACAGTGCTACTATGCTCTTCTACTAGTGTTAGAACTTAGATTGTAGTAAATCTAGTGCTTATTTTTGGAGCAAAGAGGATTGAATAAATTAAAATTAAATAAATAATAAAATTAAATTAATAATACACATATTAAATAAGTAAATTATAAGTTTATATTAATGATAGATAATAATAATAATAAACTAAATAAATAATACAATAAATTATAATGAAATAAATAAAATAATAAAATAAAATTAATAAATTATACAAAATAATAAAAAATTAAATAAATAATACAATAAATTATAATAAAATAAATAAAATAATAAAATAAAATTAATAAATTATATAAAATAATCTAAAATTAATAAAAAATTAAATAAATAATACAATAAATTATAGAGATAAATAAAAAAAATTAATAAAATTAATAAATTATATAAAGTAATATAAAATAATATAAAATTAATAAAAAAATTAATAATAAATAAATGTAATATATTTCAATCATTTAATTAAAATTTAATAATATAAAATTATCTAAATAAAATAGAAAATATTAAAGCGCTTAATTCCTTCAATAAAAACTAAATCTAATAATAAGATGCAATAATTTATGTTCTAATAATTAAATAGAAACTTTAATATAAAATATAATGTAATAAAATTAACCTATAATACAATTAAACCTTATAAAATAAACATGTATAAAACGAAATTTCATTTAAATCTACTAAAAATTATACGTATTTAGATACTCTTGTGACCTTTAGGGTTATTTTTACGAAAAGATTCAAAACAGTGCTGTTGTATAGAATATTTAAGCGCCCGAAAAATCATTTATACGAGAAAGGAATCTTTTGTTTCTCGATGCATTTTTAGCACGTCCTGTACGAGCATTTTTATCTTTCACATACTTTTGGCGCGGGACGTGTGAAGCATCCTTTGCTGGGCTTTGGCCGTAGCAAGTAAGACCTTTATCGTTTAATAGTTAACGCTCTGTCAACTTGGTAGGTTGGTGATCTTAGTGTGATCGTTAGGAGCATTTTTGTTCCTTGGACTGTTATTTATACCTTGAGACTTTCACTTAGCATTGTACACTCCTTGCAGGAGCGAGTTTTGCTTTTGACCCTAGACTGACATCGTACAGCGACCAGAAAATATTGGTCCCTTTCTAGGCGCGCCTGCTACGTGCGTTAGTCCTCCGAGTCTGCCGGTAATAGGAAATAACTATGGTAGACCTTTGGTTGCCATCCAAAGATAGACTATCGTGCCTGTGTAAATATTCAGCCGTCTGGTGGTGTTTAGCGATCCCTACAGTAGAATACTTTCGTGACTCGTGTTGAAATTTTTTAAGCTCAAGCGACTCGCTTGTATTGAAAATACATTCGTTGGGAGATTAACCGTTCTACTCTAAATAAGGTTACTCTGCTCTAAGGTTAACCGTTGAGACTTGGACGGCGCTTTGGAGAACCGCAGTTTGATTCCGTGTCCGAAGACATGTCCTTAAAACTGGCAGAAACTGCGTAGCGGATAGGTTCTTGAGGCAAGTTTTATCTTACTGGTGTCAGGATTACATTGTCCGATATCTTAGGCTGTCATAGACACAAGTGTTGAAACTTGAAGTAAATTCGGGGGCGTGCCTGCCGGAACGTGACCTCAGATGCCTAGGTAAAGCTGCGGAAATCAATAGGCTAACTATTAACTTGTTGACGGAAACAGCTGAGTTATACAGATACTGCAGCTTCTAACCACTAACTGAGTGCTGCACAGGTCTGTATAAGGAGGAATATAATGTCACCAGCCCTGCCTCCAAGGGCCACCGGTCTTTTCAGAAATCCTTGATTGGGTGAAACCTCTGAAACATGATTAGAGAATAGTGCTGGTATTATATTACTATATAATTGGATAGTATAGTATTTGCATTGTTTTGGAGTCTTGACCGGTAAGTGTAGTGCTTGTACTATATGTAGGCGAAGTATGTATGGCACTAGAACTATATAGATAGTACCATTAGCTAGTATATACCTAGAATGGCCGAGGACAGCCCAAGTTGAAATTGGGGATGCTTTAATATATAGTAAAGTCTTTCAAATTAATTATGTAAAATTCGCTGAGCAGTCATTTTTAAGTTAATAATGGATTAACGGCTATATCGGATCATAAAAAATTATTACTTAAAAGATGTTCGAATGACTTTAAGTTTTAAAAAACCCCTTAGTAGATGAAGGCAAATTATGACTTTGTTAGACTAGATAATATACCTTTGTTTAATTGTAAGGAGGCTATAGCTCGTTTATTCTCAATATTGGTAAACATCTAAAATTTCTTGATGTAGAATTTTCTTATAAAACTTAGTTGCCGTCAGTTAAACAAGCAAACTAGAAGCGTTATAGTTTAGAAAAAATTGCTTGTTTATTGTAACTTGATGTAAATAATTAATTATAAGATAGAAGGCATGCAATTATTAAATGTTAAGTATAAAAAAAAGGGAACTAAACCCAAGGAAAAGAGTTCATACTTATAATAGATATGTATCAGCTACTTCTTACAGCTTATCAATGCAGATGTTGGCTAGCAGAAGCAACCTGAAGAGACAAAGCCCATGCTTGTAACAGGCACGTATAAACCACCTTTTTCCAGCTTATCTATAAAGGTTAAGGAGTTACCGAAGAATAAGCTAATTAGGTTCCGATTATGTCGAGTAGCTATTCAGGTCAAATATATAATTTATAAACTGTAGAGTTACTACGTCTGAGGAGACAACTAGTAAAAATTTAGCAATACAAAAACCTCACAGAGGTTATAACTACTAAGAATGGTGTTAAAACACAAAGAACGCCCTAAAACACTTCCTAAGAATGCATGACAATTTTTTTTAGTAAGTTTTCCACCTGTATCAGGAAAATAGGGTCTTTTACTTTGAAGCTAAAATACTTTAATTAGTTCATACACCGAGGCCCCTCCAAATGACAAAATTTGTCAACGAGAAGAACATCCAGGAATGAACCCCACAACTCCTAAAGAAGGATTAAATTAAAATTTCGTAAAAGAAAGGGAACTTATACTTACAGGGGATCGGAAGAGGATACAGCCACGAGATATAAGCACACTTGTACCCAACTGATAAACACGTAGTTAATGAGGTAACTTTACCATGAAATACTAACAACCTACACGCATACCATACACTAAGTAAGAGTAATCACACAGAGACTATGATCTAAGATAAACCACTAAAAACATCATAAACTAATATTTTAAAATAAACGCGATTTTAAACGTTTTGAGAGGGGTTGGTTTGTGTTATGCATGAATTAATTATTTTTCTCACTGGAGCGCAAATGGCTAGCTTGCTTCTTACTTATTTAGTTTTGAAAAAATATATATACATATATTTTTAAATTTATATACTATTACAAGGAACTTGTTGAAGGTGGAAATAGCTTACCTGTTGGAGTTATAGCAGAGTTTGAAGATAAGAATTCAAACAAATTAATAATTTTTGCTTATAATATAAGTGAAAAAGAAGAGGAAACTTATTGTTTATTATTGGGAAAGCTAATGGAAATTCTTATTTTTTTCTTAACATTTTTAAAAAATTGTATGTGTCCTTATTATGAAAGTTAGCATGAATTATTATTTAGGTTTTCGGAATAAATAAAAATTATTGTAATATGTACATATACTTAGTACTGTAAATACGTTATATAAGCATAATTAGTATAAAAATTGTGTTGTGATCACTAAAAAAATAAATTCAACGAATTATAGAAAAAATAGGTGATTTATTTTTTTTTTTATATGCTGACACATATTAAATAATCAATTTATACATGAAGGGCTATATTAAAGGATGAGCTTTCAAAAAGGTTATTTAAAACTCTATCTACGCCTATGCCTTACATTAATAATTTTTAAATTTCTTAATTTTGTAATGGCGTATTTTCATTACTTTGCACATATGAACAAGACAACACTTGCGCCTTGCAATATTTCTTTATAAGGTTACTATTTCTGCTTTTAACGCTTTATAAAGTTATTTTTAACTAATAAAATATATCTAATGTTAAATACAAATAAGTTTGTTAGCTTATAAAAAGAAAAGTGATTATTTAACAAAATCTAATTAACTTCTAGCTATTTAATATATATACTTTTGTTGAAACTTAGATTAGGCGATGTACAATACCATAATAATTTTACAGATTATTACTAATATTATAAGCACATTACTAACTTAAAAAATCTTTCAATAATAAAGTGAACAATTTTTATAAAAATAAAGATAACTAATGATCTAGTATTCACTGTATATATTTTAAGGGCTGCTTTAGTGTTCTTTTTATCTTGAGGAAACTTAAAAGCGGCTTATAAGTATATTATTTTGCAACAATGTAAACTCTTGAGAAATGTAATTTGTTGCGACTATTACTAAAAATTTTAAGAAAACTCAGCTAATATACTAACTTATTACGAGAATTTTTTAAAAAAAAAAAGGTTGCAAAGTTGTCAGGCATGTGAAACTAGGTAAAGGGTTGAGTATAGTTACTTCTCAACACAAAATAACATTAACGCAAAAGGTCTATCAGCAATCCTCGAGAAAAAAGCTCTTGTTTGCATATCCTTATTCGCTAAATACTAGATTTAGAGAAATCACATCTTCGCAGAAGGGCGTCATCTGTGCTTTTGTCACGGTAGTGGGATGCTAGCAGACAGTCTACTTCGATGGGTTAGCAGTTACAAAAGAGTAAACAGTTTTCAAGATTTAGCTGACGGTGTACTCCTTTATAGTTTGCTTCAGCAAATGTAATAATAATCTATAATTAAAGTTTTTCTAAAAAACACCTAACGGTTATTGAACTTTAGAGCACCTAACTACTTTGACAATACCTTTTCCAATCCTCTAAATATTAAAAGTAATACAAGTTATAACAATGTAAACTCCCTTATTCAGCGGCTTAAGAATTTTTATAAAAAGGTTTGGTATTTTTTGAACTAGGTTTACGTAAATTATATCATGAACCTATCAGCATAATAGGAACTTTCCATAGAGGTTAAAAAAATTGAATTTCCCGACTCCTTTTTAATCACCACAGAAGGAAATGTTGAAGAAATTTGTAAGTTGATAACTCTGATTCTTGGAGCAGCCGTTTTTTATCCGCCATCTAAGGAAGGTACTTAAGTATAGATAATTTTAAAAGTTTACTTACTATTGTTTTAGTTTATATATCAGATATAATGAAGTTGAGTGAAGAAGTTAAAAAAGATCTTATGAATGTTATAAGCAACGTATTATTCTTACTACTAGCTTAAGCAGGTTACTTGTCACATTTTAATAAATTAGTTATTAAGGGTCAATCAAAAATTTTTGGTGAGTCTTAAAGGGCTGGAAGATGGTGTTGTTCACGAAGATTCTATTTGTTCTTTGGTAGAGCAAAATAACCAGTTGAAAAAGTCTAGGGAAATTAGTGAGCGCATACAGAATTTGGAAGATTCGCAAAAAAGTTTATTTTTTTTAATAATATTGTAATTCTTTCAGTGAATAAATTTTATTTATATTTCATGGTTTACAATACCCAAATTAAAAGTCTACAATCCCGTGGAAGGACCTGAAGTGGTATTAACTATAATAACTTTTTGTTAGTATAAACAATAACTTTTTGATATCAATAGAATTCTTTAAAAGTTGAGCTAACACGACTTAAAAACGAATTTGAAAAATTAGAACTTGTTCATGATCTTAATTTGCGAAATTCTGAAAGTTATCGCATGAAAGTTTTAAATTTGGAAGAGGAAGTACTCTATATGATTCAGAGTATATTTTTATTATTATTTTTATAACGGCGCTATTAATTTTAGATACGTTTCTTAAAGAGCGAGGCTGAAAAGGTTGGCCCTTTAATGGATGAACTGGAGATTAGCAAAAGCGAATTACAGCGATTAAAGAACATTGAAAAAAACGTCGAAGCCTACAGGAAAAAAGTATAATCTTTGAAAGTTCCAATTCTTACACTTACTTTGAAAAAAAGATTGAAGATTTGGAACAACTGAAACACCACATGAAGCTTTTAAAGGAAGAGAATCACACTTTAAAGATTTTGTATGAGAATGTACAAGATAAACTAAAGCTTAGCAAGGAGGTACTAATTTTTTGTTTTTATTGAATGTCATTAAGAAAATACTTTTAGAGTAAAAAGAAAATCTTAACACAGTGTACTGAAGCGGAAGATTTGGCGAAACTTAAAAGCAACGAAGCCGCTCTCGCCTCAATGGTTTGTATTCTGCTTGTTACAGCTCACTTTTGTGTTCTGTAATTGCTTTGTTATTTTTTTTTGATCGTTGCTGGAGTTGCATATGAGTTGCATATGAATACAGCTCGAAAATGAAAGATGCGAAATTTTGTCTCTTCTCGAGCAGAAGGAACTTGAGCATGAAAGAAGCATGGGAGCCATCGTTGCTCTTACAGAGAAAGCCGAAGAACTGGAGAAAAGGCTTGCTTGCTCTGTTTCCAGCGACACAGAGCTAGGCACGCTGGTACTACTGTTTAATTTTTTTTTTTCCCCTGTACTATACTTGTGTCATTTAATAGGAAAAACATCGCCATCGAGTGGAGGAACTCCAGCGGCAATTGGAAGGTTTCATGCTGAAGCGCTGCTTTCTGCTAGCCGTGAAGGACTGAGCTTTGCTCTTGGCTAGACTCTCAAGGCGTAGTAGCAAAGCTACTGCAGGAAAACACGCAGCTAACCAGCACGCTTTCCGCGTTGCAACTCCCTGATAGTGCTGTAGCAGAACTCCGGGAGGAAAACCGCTTACTGAAGGTAAAGCAGACTAGGGTAGGGCTCGCTCGGTTTCATGGTTGAGTGTATATCGCGGCTCTTGTAGAGAACACTCGAGCAAAAGGAAACAAACTGGAACCATGAAAAAAGAGCAGTAATCACTCAGTTTTACGAAATGGCCATGAAATACGAACAGGCGAGGCTAAGCGGGAACACCACTCAGTCGTCTATTTAAATTTTTACATAGTAAATTTAAGAATACCTTTTATCATATACAGCAATAAAACTATTTTTTTTAACGACGAGTGTGTCTCTTGTGGTAATGCACTTTAAAGATGTTGAGAATTTACTTTATTTAAAATTTATACACAATTCTATATACTGAAGTAGTGAAGCGTTAAGGCTGCGAGGAGAAAACTTAAAACCGAGAAAACCTGTTTGTACTTTTATTAACTCTAATCTGCTCCTCTATTCAGTGGCTTGATAGACACGTGATGCCTGTCAACGACGAACTCCAGGAGCTTAACGCAGGCGTAAACACACTTCAGATTGGTTGCGTTGCTGCTGGTTAGTTCGGCCAGCTCGAGGACAGCCCCCAAAACGCATTCGATTTCCGTCCTTCTTCCCTTTTCGATATCTTGACACATCGAGGTCTTGTGCCCTTTGATGCGTGCGGCTCCTTCTATTCGTTTCTGTTAACATAAAAGCGGTGTCGTTTATGGGTGTATCGGTTCCAAATAGACAACAATACTTCCAAGGGAAGGCGAATGGTTGCCCCTAAAGCCTTGGCAATAGATTCGGCCTCTTTCATCATCGAGTGCACCAGTTCTTTGGTAGGCGGGAAAGTGCAGAGCTCCTCTAAAGTGGCGTGAGTCAATGCAGAGATGGGATTGAACGCCAATGTGCCTGTTAACTTCAACCAAATTTCAGAACGGATGTCTTCTTGTTTTTTATTATTAAGAGAGTTAGACTAGACGGCTATTACTAGTAAGTAGTAATAACCAACTTAACACGGGAGATTTTAGTCCAGCGGCCTTTAAAATTTGTGAGACTTGCTGGACTCGATCGCTTTTGTTTCCCATCAACTCGCCCAACGGCATTCTACCCCCTACAAGCGAGCAACATAAGGCTACAAGAAATGGCCTTCTCTAATAAGGAGTTAAATGAAAAGCATTTGAAACAGAAAAAGAAACAAAAAATGAGGTATAACCTGTTGCCCCTTTATTAATATTAATCTTTCTTCATATACTTTACAAATATAAACAAAAAGTAGCAGTGCAAAAGTTCAGGTTTATCAATCACTAAGTCAACGTTATGCTCTTGTGTTAAAATTATTTCGTAGTTATATATTACTTTTAACTGTTTAAATTCCGCACTAGCATAAATCTCTCAGTATGTTGCTTTAATTTTTACTTTAAGATGTATTGCTGGACTTATAGTATACCCTCTATGTGGCGTACAACACCGGTTTTCTCGAGACTGCAGGCAAAATAGACTAGAGAGCCGATAATGCGTTCTTTACTAATCGCCGTGCTTAAAAGGCCCTTAGGATCGACGCTTCTTTTTATTAAGTAAAGATAAAATGGTACAATGCTATAGTGAATATATAAAAATACTTTATAATTATGTTAGAATAGGACTGAGGTCCGTTGTAGTTTAGAAAGTACCACCACGGAAATCCGTTTTGCAAGGGGACAACCTCGAATATATGAAGGATTTAAATGATAAAGTTTGCGCTTTTTATAAGTTTTTAATACCACAGTCGTATCGTTTAAAATAGGAGTTAAGGTCTCCGCAATTTCTAAAAGTTGGGGAGACTTGACAGCCAAGAAAACTAAATCTTGAGTTTCCAGGATCTGAAGCCTTATTATGACGAATCTTAACACAATTGAGCGAATAAGCCCAAAGCAACCTTCGAAGTAGACTCATACACTCCAAAGTTTTTAGTTGAAATTTTTTGATTCCCGGATAACACTATTAGCCCTTCCTCCCTTAAAGTTTTTGCATATTTAGGGCGAACCACAAGTGAGATTATTAAGTCTTGAGGTGATGTGGCAATTTTTGCAGCTAGAAAACCTCCTACGGCTCCCACCCCTATTATACACACCCTTTTTATTTTACTCTGCATTACGAAAGGCGAAGCTGGATTGTAATCCATAGTAATGCCCCCTAATTTCGACTAAAGTTATCTAGATCATATCTAACCAATCAATTTCTTACTCTTCCGGTTACAGTATTTTAGCCTTCTATTGGTGAAAGAAGCTAAAAATAACAAAACGTAGATGAACCTAGTTCGATTCTGCCTGCGGCTCAGTTATTTTTGTTTTCTATACTTCCTAACACACCTGTTACACCTTTAACACGTGTGCTTAAGTAATTGTTTTTCAGTACCTCAAGTTGGGTTTAACGAGATCTTTAGAAGTTACTCATAACGTTTTATTTGGTATGTTAAAAAAAAAGTTGTCCGCTTCGGGTACGCATAGGATACAACGCCACAATAAGCGTCATGTTTCGTTTTAGTTTTGTCAAGCCACAGACCAAAAAAGCGGAGTTTTACGCTAGTGATGGATGAAAGGCTGAACTTTCTTACCTCTGAATTAATATACGTTCCTTATTAAATATTACGCCAATATACAAAAGTTAGAAATATGATTCACTCATTGTATATGACGGTTTTTAAATTTATAATTTGATAAACCCCTTGTTTTTGAAATATAGAAAATCTATTAGTTATGAGATTGATACGCAAAAAAATGTACTCAGATTATTAGTTTAAGTTACTTAGATAAGCTTTAATAACTTCGCTTAATTAAAATAAAAGCAACCAAAACTTAAAAACAGCTGTAGTTTAAAAAAACATAACAGTTCATCTTGTGAGATAATTGTTATTTTTAAATATAACTTTCTGTGATGATTAAAAGCATAAATAAAAAACATTAAAGACTAAGGATGGATATGATAAATAAACCGACCATGAGCTTGGGATCAGAAAAAAAGTTAAGGATCCACTAAGTATTAATTGTGTACAGCTAAGAACAAAAATTAGAGTTAGAAGACGTGTTAAGGAAACAGTTCTCACAAAGTGGCAAAACTAGAGGCAGAACAGAACTAAAAAGTCAAAAACATAAGGCTGGCAATTTTTGAGAAAAGATCACTGTTTGAACCCTTTTTTTTTCTTATTAAGTACTGACATGGTCCATCCTTAAAAAGACCTCCTTTCCAAAAAATGGTTGGGCGTAATGCCCACCAGTGTAGTTTATTCAAGAAGCATGATGATTGTCCCGTACCCAATCTAAACAAAAAAAAAATTGTAACTTTTTATTAGGAATGTTTGCGAATAATTTCTTTTGTTCGAGATCTAAAGTTTAATTTTTTGTTTATCCTTATGAAGTCTGTGCTCGCCCTTTTCTTTGCTTCATTCTTTTTACCCTTGCCTAAAGGGTAAGAGAATAAACTCCTGATATAGGGTAAGTTAACCTTTCACAGTCATCTAGTATAGAGCCACGTAATGGTGGCATTTTTTTAATTTAATACTTAATAAAATTATCATTTATTATTATTATTATAATTATTATTACTAAATAATTAATATTATTTTTATTAAAAGCATTATCAACATTATTTTTATCATTATAAATGTTGTTATTAATATTATTGGTAGTATTAGAAGAGAAAGTATTATTAGAAGTATCCAGTTTGTCAGCTAATTGGATCGGGACAACAGGTGCTCAGGGTCTCCAATATTTGGTATACCACAGAGAATCGTAGGTTATTATCGTAGATAATTATTAGAGTGAGTGCGGCCTGCTCAAAGCATTTTTCTGCGTTATTTTAAACCCTTGTGACAAATTCGATCTTACAGTTTCGGTGCAGATGCATGCTTCTTATAAACCATGGTGCGTTGGTGCAGAGTCGAAATGAATTATTTTGAAGGATTGGTAGACAATTTGAGTGTCTCATAAAACATGCTCCAAGCGGATAAAGCATATGTGAGCATAGGTTTAACTTTTATATAAACTAGTTTATTACTAAGATATTTAACTTGCTCCTTTTGCATAGTACAAGGGTAGCAAACATTCTTAATAGTTCTAAATTTGTTGATTAAGTAGTCTAAGTGAGCCTCCCACTTGAACTTGTGGCCAAGAACTCTTCCAAACTACTTAGCCTGCTAGCACCAGAGGAGATCTTCATAAATAATTATAAGTTGCTCACCTGGCGATGTTTCCTTCTACGCGAGATCAGTAAGGCCTTGCATTTGGTCGGATAAGTTTAAGATGGTTAGATGCGAATTAGCTTTTAAGGAGGTCTAAGGATGATGGCAAATTTTAAAGTTAATGGACTTATTTAGAACTTGTATAGAATGCAGTGTCATGAGCATACTGCGCAAACAGTGTTGTCCTTAAGGATATTAGAAGTGAAGAGGGAACCAATAGAGGGAGCAAATGGGAGCCCGGGGAAACAGCTGCAGAAAAGGAGCACGAATCGGAGGTTAGGGATTCTACCTTGACCCTAAAGTTTCTATCTTTTAAAAAGGCCTTAAAAATTGTATCATGTGCGCAAGAATATTATAGTTTGCAAATTTCAAAATTAATTCAAAGTGCCGTATGTTATTAAAAGTTCCCTCACATCTAAGCGTATAATAATTGTAGCTTTTTTTTTTTATAGTTTAATGCTTTGGTAACGTGCTCAGAAAACCTCAGAACCTATTGAGTGGTGGAAGGACCCTTCGAAAGCCGAACTGTACATTAGGAATTATGGATACCTTTTTCACCTACTTCTGCAACCTTTTTGAAATAAGAGCTTCTGCCTTCAGAGGGAAGATAGCTAGCATGCTAATAAGGCGAATACCTTTAACTGAGTGAGGGTGGCCATCTTTGGGATCATAATGACACGGTAAAGTTTCCAGCGTCCTGGAAACAATTTTAAATGAAATATCTTATTTATTAATTTAACAAATGTAGGTGAGTTCAGTTAATGCCCCAGCGTTAGTTTAGTTATACCATCTAGACCGCTCGCTTTTTAAATAGAAAGTGTACTTTTCTCTCCAGTAATTTCTTCCAGCGTAGTATGCGCTAGCGAATCATCGAGCGTCCATTCTTCACCAGTGTAGGGAAGGGTAAAAAGGAAAATTTAAGGCAATTAACCTTTGAGAAGAGGAATCGGTAGGCGTCACAAAATTTGCAAACTTAGCCAAGTCAAACGGGGAATAAACGGTGTATCTTTCGCATTGGGTCATACATGAGTTTGGGGAGAGTTTATATTTGTCCTTCAACCTTTTTGCTAATTTTCATAAAGAATTTTTAGAGGCTTTGAATATTTAAGCTTGTCTGCATAAGTTTTGTTAAAAAAAATTAGCAGGTAACTTTTAACTTGATAATTCTCTTGGTTTAAAAGATTTTGGTCGTTAAGGAATTTAGTAGGTGCGTACCTTTTTTTTCATACGCCTCCTTTTAGTAATTGTGCATTCCAAATTTTCCGGTAGTATAAGAGGTGAAACAAGTAAGCCTTTGTACTCTGTCGCTCGATTGCGTGACTTAAGAATTAGGACTCTAGTGCGTTACTGCATCATTAAGGCTATCTATCGACCAATAAGTCATGAAAAAAGAAAGATCGTCCTCCACATATTTTAAAAATTAAACTAATTCGGTTTTCCTTCTCTATCCTAAATGAATTGTAGGGAGTATCATCAAGCGTAATTAGAACAAATCTGTGATCAAAAAGAGAGCTCCAACCACGTTTGTTATAAAAGTGAAGCTCTAATGTTCTTCATTAGGGCAGTATCCAGCACATTGGTTGTGTATTTTGTGACATAATGAGTTGGTCACTAGACCTATCACAAGGATTCCTTTTTCTTCTGCAAGTTTTCCTAGGTGCAAGTACTATTCTAAAGTAAATGTTTGCAATCGAGGTCTCCGCTCCCAATTTACAACTTTTAGTTCGATATCCTCAGAAGTTAATAAGTTAAGTATTCATATTCATCTCTGTGCGAGCAGCGGTGAATCTGCGAAAGTCATTTGTGGATGAGTTTACAATACGCATGTCATGTCTGCCATCTTCAGCACCTGAGAATTTGATGTTTTCTCTTTGATTAATTAAACCATTTTCCTTTATTTCGGGTTGTGATAGGGGGAATCATTTCTTTATTAGTATTATTATTTTATTATTGCTGTTAAAATTATAATTATATCAACATATAATTTTTTTTGACATTGGAAAAATACTTGGTAAAAAAAAAGTTTGAGCGTCCAACATCGCTATACTTTCTGCATTTCTATTTCTTCATAACTAGGTAGGTGAGAGTTATTCACAAACTTCCACATAACCCGAGATTAACACGTAACTTAAGGTAAATATATATCCTTTCCTTTAGCTGAATAACCACAGCTCTACCATAAACAAGGCTTGAATTTGGTTATACCTTTTCTAGGTCCAGCAGCGCAACCAGAGAAAAATTAATTGTCATAAGAGCTAAGGTTTTTGTGCTTATAAAAAAGTTTTTAGTCGGTGTTAGTAGAGCTTAAGCAAACCCTAACCCAAATTTTTATAGCTAAACCGAAACTAATATTACGTGTTAGATTCTCACCACAATGAAAAGTGGAGCCTGTCTTGAAAAAATATTACTATCACCCCGAAAATTAAGTAACAGTACTTTTCAGGGAAGATGTCTAAATGTGGTAGATGTTTTGTAACATGCGTTATAAATGAAAGGTATAGTAGCTTTATACTAAGGCCCCTTGCTTGAGCTCGTGGTGTCTCGGTGCTCATTTGTGTATATATCTGGCGAGCAACGAGATTACCACTGATAAATAGTTTTGATCAAACTTTGCTACCTTTTATTAGCGCTTATATTACTCAAGAAAACTTTTCCTTAATATTTGCGCTACTTTTTCTTTATAAATAAACAAATTAAAGTGCCCATGATGAACTTACCTAAAAGTCACCGTTAGGGGATGTACAAGTCCGAGGCTTCTGACATTCGGCATAGCATCACAAACAAGTGAGAATAAGTTAGTAAGGGAGCAAAGTAAATAGTGTGATGTGAGGTCTATTCTTAAAGTCTTGGTGATGACCTTCAGAACCAGGGAACAATAAAATATATGAGTGCTATCATCGACCAATATTTTATAATAAGAAACGAGCAACTTGATTACAGGTACTTTAAACACGTTATGCAAGAGACTCAAAATTCTTTTAACAAAATTAATAACCAATACACGAATTTAATTTTTTAAGAAATGTTCAGTTTTGCAGGTGTGATTATAGTGAAACAATAAAAAATGACATTTCACCATGTCCCTATTTTTGTTGAAAGTTTTCTCTACATATTATAATGCCACGGTAATAAATATTCTTATATATAATTCTGTAGCATCACTCACTTACGACTTTAAATTTTGAGTGATTGAGTGCTTTCTATAATATATATTTGAAAATTATAAAAAATTTTTTAAGTGGCGATGACACGTAGTTTTGTAGCCATATTAGTGTATATTAGTTTTTTCACTGAAGAGAGCAAAGTAGGGACCAAAATTGTCAAAAAGAAAGTTGGTCTCTTAGTTTGGTTATAGTTATAACTTCCGCTTTGAAAAATAGGATTTAGGATTGTATAAACAAACTTATATTGACCTCGTACTTATTTTGTTAACATTAACGATTCAAATAATTTTGTAGACCTCTTCTATCGCGACAAATTTGTGATATGGCCTAAATTTTCGTGCCGTCAAGTGCAGTTCTTTTTTCAATAAATAATTTAATCTTTTCTTCCTTCGGCCAACTTAGTGAAGCAAAGCTAAAGGCAATTTAACAATTGTATACAAGTTTTTATACCTATTGTACGGGGACCAATATAATTCACGGCAGCAGTTAATAAACTATTATAATATATGAAAATCTTTTTTGTTCTACTATGAAACAAGGTATTAAGTATAAAGGAGGAATATGCGGTGTAAATGTCCTAAAACTTTTATTATTATTATAAAATACCACATAACTTATTTATAAGGAAAACTTACAAAAAATCTTTCTTTGCTTTAATGGTTCCAAAATATAAGCTACCACAATCTTAAAAATGACTAGTGATTCTAGTCTCATAAATTTTAACATCCTTTTTGTAGATATTTAATTATTTATTTATGTTAGGTTTCCCATCATTCCAAAAAGTGGACGCCCACCTTCATGGGAAAGGAAATCATCCTAACAATATATATATGAACTTTTTTTCGCCAGTGTACTTCCTCTGTAGATATTCATCAAATATCTGACTTAAATAAGACAACAACCTTCCCATTTACCCTTGCTCCGCCCACTTCCTTTTAAAAACTACGTAACCAAATAAATTTATGTATATATCTATACTCAACCCTTTCTTTATAAGGCGCTCTTGGAAAGAAACGCAGTAGCGCCGTCTGCATGATGCACTGTAATCGAGAGTTTTGGCTATTTGTTACTCAGTGGATGTGTAAGTTAAAAAAATACGAAAGAGGTGGTAAATTAAAAAAATATTCCACTTAAAAACCTAATTCTATCTGTTGAGGACATATCTTATTTAAAAGCTAAGATTTCGAAGGTTTTTGATACCTTCCAACACTGGGAAAAACATGCATGGACAAGTGTAAAATAAGGCGTGGATGCTGTTTAAATAATTATAACCGGGTCTTTCACCCTCTACCATTGCTTTTAAAGTTAAAGACCTCACAGTGATCCAGCCTTTTATTTTTCAAATTCTTTATAGTGCTAAGTTTTCTACTACAATAAAGGTCATAATAGCCTATGAGTATGAGAATCTAAACGGTAATATAATTTGTTTAATTTTAACCTGTTAAATAATACAACTCTGTAACAACTTAAAAAAAAGTAAAATTGCTTGCTGGCAAATCAAGAAGCTGAAAACAGAAAAGAAAAAATACATGAATAGAGTTTAAAAGGTAGGGGATAAAATGGGTATAGACGAAAGTTAGATTTAATAAAAAAAATTAAAAGAAAACAAACTCTTTTACACTTATTTAACACATAGCCCAGGACCCGAGGAGTTCTGAATTACACAAGTATCTTTTAAAGTTAAATGTTGATTGTTAGTTCAGTTTATAAGGGATACTATAAATATAACACAACGCTAATAGCTTAGTCGGTATGCCTTTTCAATATTTTTTTTTAAACTCGTTTTATTATCAACTACTATTTAGTCATCAGAAATAAGCGTAGTTCGCTTGATGCTCGGTTTTAATTAAATATTCTCTTCGTCTAGCTCGACACTATTGTCTTAAAATTCTTCAAATTACGGATGCCATAATTTTAACTAAGAAAACCTAGGGCAGGCTAATAACTAAAAAACTGATAAGGTCATAATAAAAATTAGTGTTTTTAGGACGATACACTTTTTTCCGAAACTTTAATATATAAATTAAAATAATTTATTAAAAAAGTTATTAAAATGAGAGAAAACTTAAAATTTAATAGTCAAAGCGGGTTAGCTTGTTTTCGGTTAATAGCGTTAATTACTTAAAGACCAAAGGTTTTGACAGAAAAAACTAGTTTATTAGCAAATACTGGTCAAGAGATTGTGCTGTCTTAGCTTTCCGAGAAAAGTTAAAGTGGGGCTCTAGTCTAATGAAATAATTAAATCCGATGCGTCCTGAATATGGCCGCCTTGCTTGAGAATAAGATAGTTATCAGGACACACCTTTGGACCATTTTATTTACGCTAGTCCGCGCGGTTCGAAGGGATTGCTCTTAAAATTAGCATAACATGTAGCTGACTTTGTATCTTTGAAAGATCCGATCCCTTTGATCGTAAGAAATTAGCACTTACACTGGTTAGACTAAGTTCTGGTCATACGTACTACTGGGGATTCTATGTGTGTGCTCTTTTAGCCTTAAGCTCGTCTACTCATACTTGCGCTGCCCGCGCTTTGGTGGAGGTGCCGTCTTAATTTCTTCTTTCGCGAAGGACTTGGAGTAGACGAAGTGGCGATGAAATAGCATAAATTCTCGCGCCCTCATAATTAGTTTTGGACGAAAGCCTAAGGATGTACTCTTGTATCCTATAGAGCTAAGAAGTTTATTATTATGAGTGTCATGTAATAGCACTATTGGCATGGGCATTCATTCTAGATGCTAATTAACTAGTTAAATACTGGTTGTATTATATATTCAAATACGCTAAACTATGCTAAATATTATGTTTAACAGTGTTCCATTCTTTTTAACTCAGTAACCGGTCAAATAAATAGTGCTTACTTAAAATATGGTACCACTCTACTATAATATTATAAAAAGATACTTATACAATAGTGCTATTATCTATTAATTACTACATATATGCGGTAACTGCAAAAAGAGGTATAATTGTAATCACTTGACATATATTATAGCTTGCGCTAAACGAAAAAGCGATTATGAAAATTATTATACTATGACAAAAAAAATATCAAACTGGGATGTACCACTTTGACCGAATATTAAACTCCATAGATAAAGTCCCAACCAAGAATATTTGTTGATTTGATTTATTTTGTCTTTGATCATAAAATTGATAATGCATATGGTAATGCACATTGTAATAAGTTTACTACCTGGTACCTCAACATCTAAGTTTTTAAAAAACTGTTGAATTGTACAAAAGCTAACTTCAATAGTTCCCTGTAAAGTGATTGTTAAAGCTTTTGATAGGCATAAAAATTTAATTTAAAATTGCCATCAGGAAATTAACTTTACGACCTGAAAAAAGTTCAATATAAAAAAGCGATTGCTGAAAATTTATTTAATTAATTGTTAAGACATTTATTCTAAGACTTTTTATAAAGCTAGATAAAATGTTTTTAAAATTTTTTTTTAATATTATCTCTTTCTGAAGCTCAAAACAGTAATAATCTAGTTTGCTTCTTATAAGAAAAAAAGATCACTTGGCTACAAAAACTTTTAACATTTAACTATATTTAAATTAAAATTAAAATTATTAATATAATCTCTTTAATGATATAGTAGAAATTGAGACATTATTTTTAACTATTTCCTTAGTAATTGGGAAGTAGATGAAGAATTAAAAATGTGTTGATACGGACAATTAAGAAATATTTTGTGACTTATAGTTGAAATGAGGCTACTAACGTTTTATAAGTTTGAATAACAATTGTTGGCAAGAAAGTTTTCTATATCTATACAAAAGTCTTGAAATAAGGCCAACGAGTCAAGATTAGGTTGGCGACCTTCATCTTTATCTTTAGCTATTTTGATAATCTCGGTCTTCTTTTCTCCAAAAACTTTCCCGTACTTATTGACAAAAATCTCGAAAAGATTATTAGCAAAGTGGTTAATACTTTCCTCGGACCGAAAGGGAGCAACTCCCAAATAGGTGCGGCTCTCTTCAGTTCTTACCCTTCGGGTTATAGTGGCTTCATGTCTAAAAGGAGGATTTTGTTCACTGGTCTAAAACGTTTACACTATTAAAGCTAAAAATTAGACTAAGAAGTTAAATATTACCGATGGAAAAAGGGTACTGGAATAAAAAACTGCAAGAATTATGTCCTCGTCATAAACAGGTATTAATGAAAGGTTAGAGATGGTATTTTTCTTATCTTTTATCCTAAGAGCTAGACTGTCAACTATATCTTATAAAACACCGTCATGAATTTCCGAGTTCTATATTATATATTGTGTACCATGGGACAATGAAGCGCACTTCTTAAAAATTCTTGTGTTAAAGTGCAGGAGTGAATCTTCGAATTTCGCCTTTTTAACCTTATAAAAAAAAAGTTTATATGCATATGTTTGTATAACTATATCTGAGTTACGCACCCTATTTTCACCTGACTCATCCACCATCTCAGACAGTTTTATAAGCGCTAAGACAGTAAATAAAAATTATTTTGAAATTTCAACAAAAACTATATAAAAACCTGAAATATATGAACCAATTCGCGCTGTTAACGTAGATGCCATATTAGGATCGCACATAATTAACTTCGGCCAGGACCAAAGTTTATCCACAAGCACAAGACCAGTTTTTTTGCATGCTACGAAAATTCGATTCAAATAATAATTATCCTGATCTTCATGTAAACGGAAAAAGTTTATGTTAAAAGTATAAAAAAGACTCATTTAATTTATTTTTACCTATAAAATTATTAGGCATGCCGGCTAACTATATTTTAACTAATGTTCATAGTTGTTAGTTCTCGTAAAATACCGCGAGCAATTTTTGGTGGAGTAAATAGCCTTAGCATCTGTCCGTGTAGGCCGATTCGCGAGTGGTCGCACGTCGCTCATAAAGAACGTGAAGAGCGAATCCTTGCATAGACCCTTCTACTATGGAAAAACTATGTATTGTCCATATTGTACTAATGAGAGCACCATTGAAAGACCGCGGAGGAGAATCAGGGGGATCACAATGTGGAACAGCTCTTATGCCAAAATCAAACTTGGTCAAACGATTTTAACCTCATAAAAAACGGTAAGACGTGTGGCCCTTGCCGTTAGACGGAAAGGAGTTTGCAAGTCGAAATTTTAGAAGAAAACTGTTCTTTAATAATTTCCAGACTATGAAGTGATGGAATGGTATTGGTCTATCAAGGGAGGGCAGCTTCAGTGTCTTTTCTAGCATCACATCAGTCGCCATTCACCGTGCTGAGGATCATTCTAGAAAAACAAGGTACTATAGGTTATCCGTCACTACCGAAAGTATTAGGTTTCTTAGACTTACTAGAACCTAATATCTAGAACTCCATCAGTAATGGTTAGTTTAACTAAATAGCCAGTATAAACGAAAAAAAGAAGTTTAACTTTAAAAACGCTTTATTTGTAAAAGAACTGATAGATAACACAGCTTGAAAAGGGATTATCGGCGAAAAGAGTTGCTTTGTTCATGTCACTCTTGGCCACTAAATTGCGCTAGGTAAAAAAGGTTGGTGGTAAATGAGCTTAAGCATTACCTAATGTACCAGTGTGCTGAATTTTCGAGTTTTCTGCGGTTGTGATGCTATGAACACCTAGAAAGGACCTTATTGTCGTCAATAGAAACGAGCCTGACGAAAGATTAGCCAGATTTTCCAATCCGACTGCTTTTATCGGGATGCTTGCCGTAGCGGCGTACACGAGTCACGGAGTTGCGCAGTAGGGGACAGCGCCGACTAAAAACGCCGATTACGCTACTGTGTGAAAGGCTTCCACAAATAATGTTTACAGATGTGGTAGTTTGCTATGTGCGTAAACTCGAATGAACTAAATCAGGAGAAAGCCTAGAGCATAATTATGGGTGTTATTAAAAATAGACGTATCTAGTTTATTTACCCAAAATTTTCGCTAATTTTACATACGAACTCTAGCGATATCGGGATGGAGGGCGTGCTTTTTCAGAGCTATGGACGCTTGAAACATTATGTAGAGACATTAGCCGTGGTGTGGTGCGCAAATAAGCTCGTGTATTATCAAATTAAGTAGCTAGAGAATGAGTGTGGAAACTAATCACAAGAGCGTTATAGAGGCCTATATAATTACGAATGAGAGAGCGTTACAGTGCGGAAGAAGAGAGTGAATAGAATCAATCAAATGAATAAGCGTAATTGGTCGCTTCACCATATACCTAGAAAATCGGAAGTAGCAGCTAACCTCCCCTCCCCCCAGATTGGTTAAAATAGAAAAAGTTCGAGGATTTAAAGCAGTTATGTGGGTCAGAGTCGACCAAGGCCTCACAACGCCGTTGAGGAGAAATTTAGTAAGGGGTCCGATTATTGGACTACATGAGTTTGTTTTACGTGAGGTTTACTGAGGATGAGGAAGATTTTTTGGTGCAAAGTAGTGGCTGGAAAGTAGTTCAAGAATGTGATGCCTGTATACGGTTTGGTGGTAGAAGTCATGTGTCGAAGGAAGTCTTTTTCTGAGTCTTTTTCTAAGTAAAATAAATGCTCAATGAGCCGTGGAACAGTTGGCAGTGGATTAAAATGCCTAAATCGCAAGACTTTAAAGTGTGATGGTCATACCTGACAGGTACACTTGAAAAGTTTAGGCTAGAATATATGAAAGAATAAGGTACAGAACTGGTAAAAAAAAGACTTAAAAGAGTTTGGACAGCCAACAACGTTATTACGCGAAGGGCATGTATAGTTATTAGCCGAAAATTACAAATTTTTTTTTGTGATGCTAAGGTGAGATATGTGACTGCAAACCATTATTAAGCTCATGGGATGGTGGGCGAGCCATTTAAACCCTATAAAGAAGGCCACTCAAAGTAGTTACGGAAGAAAATAATTTGGATGGAGCTGTTGGATTACTAGATTACACTGTTATAACAGTTTGCTTAACGTTTTGAGAGTAACTCCCTATTTAACGATATTTAAAGAGAGCACCGACCACGGTAGGCTCACAAGCCAGAAAGATATACATGAAAGCAGTGAATTAGCTAAAAACAATATATTAAAACGAAAATAAAGGCGGAAAAGTTAAGTGCTCTGAAAAATGATTGGTCAAGGAAGCTAAAACGTCAAGATGATTGTGTGGGGAAGGTCTATGATAGAAAAGCATGGGCTGACTTAAAAGTTGGTTAGATAGTGAACACTAAAATGACACTGCAAAGATTTAGAGGTTCTAGAGTTTGGTGATACTTTTAGTACGCTTAGATGGAACTGATAAAATTTACCATCACAATCAACTAAAACTGGTTATAATTTACGCTTAAGAGATGTAATTATCGAGTATTAGGCAGACTGACTAGTATCATATTTGTAGCAGGCATCTAAAGTAACTTTTATGAAAAAAAGAAGGAATATTAGCATTTTATTAAAATAAAAGGGCGCACGTGGTTGGTATAGGTGGCTGCAGAGATGGAGTGACTTTAGTAGGGAAAAAGGTTTAGACTCATACATTTTACCGACTAAAGACCTTTTTAAAGAATACAAAGCAAGGTTAAAGGACCACGAGCGTACTTGTGCCCCTAGAAAGTCTCCCATCGTCTCCGCTTGTAGACTCCTTGAAGATGTAGGTTTTAGATTAGCGTTGATAAAAAAGCTACGAAAGCGAGTAGTTAATTTACTATTTTCATGCAAATAGTATTGGGGAAATGTAGTTAGTAAGTGCATATTACTTTATGAGAGGCCAAGTTGTTAAACTGTATATATAAGTGAGTCTGTGGCGCGACTCGGGAGATCTCTTTTTCCATCACTTAATTGTGGGGTGGCCTGTTTCTTGCGTTGAGTAGCATAGCCTGGCTAGTGAAATTAATAAATTATAAAATAGTTTCTGTAACAGATAATCTTTATTATACCTTGGTCACCAGAGTAGATAGTGTTAGTGCACCAAAATAACATGGCAGGGTGTCGAGATTTGTACATAGCACGGGAGGTTGCTCTCATTAAATCTCATGAAGTGAAGGGCCACAGTGCTTGCAACAGTGCCGTTGCCAAACATGATTGCGTCTTTAAAGCTTTTTTGCGAAGTTTGGGTAAACATTCTTTATTTCAGGCGCTCGAGGCTTCAATAGTAGAACTACTTAATTTACTTTACGTTTTAAATATTTATCAATTTTGCTCTTTAAGTATAGGCAACGGGATGGTGCAGAGTTCTCGTACCATCAATTGTATTATTTTTGTCCCTTAAAAGCTTCCTCTGGTTAGTTGATAAAACTTTAAAAAAATGAGGGCTTTCTGTTTTTCACATTATAACTGTCAGAATTTTCCCTTGCGGAGTCAAGGCGAGAATAGCGCAACGGAGAAAATTCGGCAAGGTTGGAATTATGGTTAGAACCATTTTTAACAGGCATAGTCTAATTTCGTTTAAAGTCTTTAAATTTCTTGAGTAAAGTTAGTAGGGGCGTTTTATTTTAATAATCTGTTTATAATATCTATAAAGGAAACATAACAAAGTCAGAAATTATTAAGTGCACAAGTAGAGTATGTAAAAATATAAGAAGCCATGGCTAAATATGTAGTCTACAGGGAAGATGAACACATAACAGTCACACCAGAAGAATGCGAGTTGGCACCGAGGGGGATCGAACCCTGCTTTGAGCTTGCGCGAATTAGGAGACTAGTATTATCATGGCAACCCCTTAAAACAAGCAAAATGCTATTGTTCGCCGTATACTATTATTCTTTAACCAATTCTATATTTTTATTATAAATACTATCACAACAATATTTTTATCAATATTTTACTACTTGTTACTATTAACTTTTGTTTATAACTATAATCGGTATATATATAAATTTTTTTTTTAATGAAGCTTGCTTTTTAATTACGGCCCTCTTCGGTCGATAAACTACGTATACAACTTTTTGTTATACTGTAAGAACAAACTAGGTTTAAAATAACGAGGGTATAGTAAAAGTATTTAGACGTTGAAAGTGTAGGTAATAAATTAGATTTTGAAAAAGCATAAATGACATGCAAGGAGCCTTGCATGTTGACCTTTTTAAATCGTATATATACCCTTTATAAAAATTACAAAGTAACAAAATTTAATTTTTGTTTAAATTTTATTATTACAAAATGTGTAAGATTTTTCTCCTTACTGGCTGTGATTGTAATTCAATATATGATTTAAGTTTTGTTTTTTGTGTTCATGTACTATTGTTACGCCTTTTTGAAATTTTAGGTTTTTCCGTTGTTTTTTGTATATAAAAATTGTGTTTTCAATATTCTAAATTTTTGTGTTAGACTGCCTAGCTAAGCATATATTATTAAAAAAAATGAAATGACATTTTTAGCAAAATTTTATTTTTAAGTTAGTTTCTGACTTTTGGAATACATTGTATTTCGCAATTTTCTAGCCGATAAAGTCAAAGTCATCGGTATTAATATTTATTACTACACTTAAGTCTCATAACTCTTAAAGAAATGATTCTGAGGTTAATTTAGTTGAAATTTCGCGTTATAGACACTTAATGGGGGCCGTGGTTTAAGTCTTTCACTTCTAAGACGGTTTTACGTAGTTTAACATACGAAATTCCTGATTGCCCCTCAACGTAGTTCTTTTGTTAAACTACAACGTCTCTTGACTACTGAATAGAAAAGAATAAGCAGAAACACTGTCTGCTTTTGGAAACTCTTCGCACAACATCAGAGAGAGGTTTAGCCTCGGATAGGCGGGTAGTCGCAAATATTATATGTCTGTGCTGTTTGCTTTTTTACGCATTGTTGACGGACTACCGAACTTAAATGTGGGGCACCCGTTTATCCTTAGAACACTGAGGTTACGCGTAACCTGATTTTTTAAAGGTTATAAAGTGTCCCGAACATTCTAAACTCTCAGTAAGGAGAATGTTCCGGAATAGTAGGGTTATATAAATACAGAAATTTTGACTTAGTAATTCAGCCCTCAGTCCTCTTTTTTTGTGGTCTTTTTATTATATTGTGTTGTAGCCTCACGTAGACGGTCGTCCAAGGTGTGCTGTTTTAATGAAGTTTATAAAATAGAATTGCATTTTTACTGGAGGTTAACTACGTTATTACATGGGGTTATTCATAACATTGGTAGATGTTAGTAGGTAGGCCTAGTGATCCAGGGTTAACAATAATAATTAGTACACAATGGAAAAAAAAATTTAAAAGAAAATTTAAGTAAAGATAAAGGCGGGAGAAACAGTGTAGAGCTCTTAAACCAGCAACATACACAGCTTTTGTTAGGCTGTTTATGTCAGACGGATCGCTTTTTGAAGTCAAAACGATTTTCATGTCCCTTTTAAAAAACTTCTTTATTATTACTTTAAAAACGAAAATAGTGTTTATTTATTGTGGGTCTCTATTTTTTCTAGAAAAAAAGTTAAACCGGTCATTAAAGACTAAAAATTTTTATCAAATGTTCTACACTTTTTTAAGACCAAAAAAAGACGGCCGTACTTCGTCTATAATACTAGGTCTCCTTTCAATTTAGGAAGTACACTTTTTTACTCTATTTTAGTTTTTATCTAATAAGGGTTAAGGTGTATTATTTTTTATATGTATTTAACCGTTGGTGATAAGTGAAACGCATAACAACTTTTATCATAATTTAAACCAACCGTCAAATCTCCAAAATCATAAATAACAAATCTTTTAAGTAAGAGCCCAAAATGGTAAAATAAGTCTAGTTTATTAAAAAATGGTATAAAAAATTATACTTAAAATTCTCTTTTTACCCTAAAATTTTGTCGATTCACCTGAATCGGAGAAGGGCTCTACTGGTATACTTAATCTTGTATACCATTTCAGAATTGATTATAGTATGAGATGACTGTCTCTTACACGTGACGCTATTAAATATATTCCTAAGCGCACAGACAGCGATAGGAGGCAATACTTTATAAAATTGTCTGAATAGGTGGAGTTCTTTTTTAAATAACAATGCGATTTAGATTTTATAGTAAAGGTTGGTAGACTGTAACTTTTCTGTAATTTTTTTTTTCACAAGACAGTCATTAAAAATGAGATCAAAAAGTTTCTTTTGTAGAAAATACATTTATTAATTTAAGGACAATTACACTGAGATACTCTCCCTTGGTTTGAGTTCATACGACATTTTTTTAATAGAATTATAGAATCCAAGAGGTGGGACTAAATATTCCATCCTTAAAGTAAGAAGCTGAACTGCTAAAAAGCTCATTTTAATTGTATAATTATTGAACATTTAAAAACAGCAGTTTACAGCTTTCTTAATCGGTATTCAACAGAAATTATTACAAAAAGGAAAAAACTAAAAGGCAAATTTAATTAACATAACGTTAACCCATATTAAAACTTTAATTTTTTAACCACTATATAAAAAATGTTTGTCCCCCTTCCGTTGCTCAAGGCCGAGACTCAGTGGTGAAGAGAAAAGAATGAAGTGTTTGTGAATGTTAATACCAGGCTAATACCCAGATTGATTGGAGATAATAGCAAATAGAAGTAATGTCCAAAAAAAACAAGTAATTCTTCTTTAAGGCATCCGAATACTTAACAATTCCAAAAAAATTTCCGTCTTAACTGAAAACTCAGACGGAATAAAATAGATAGATTTGAAGAAAGGCTTAACTTCGCAAGTTGCATATTTCCCAAAATTGAAATAAAAGAATTGCTTTAAAAATAACAAATAGCTTAACAAGTAAATTTAAACACAACTTTATTAAGAAGACCGCATCTTCCACTGGTCAGGGGTGTAGGTACGCTAGATAAGTTTAGTATAACTGGTAAATAACTTAAAGTTTAAAAAGTTATAGACATATCCATAAAGCAATAAATTAACATCAAACATAAACAACTGATGGTAACAAACTAACAAAAGCAAACCATTCATAATAGAAAATCTGCAACTAAAAGCTTATAGTATGGGAGTAGGCCACAAAGTAGAGCATGCAAAATAGTTATTCCAACTTTCAAACTTCAGATTATATGTCTTAAAAATAACCTGCACAAAAGCATGAATGAACTTTAGCTCTTGAGAGATGGCAGCGTGTACTAAACTACAGACAGAAATAAAACTAAGTAACTTTACAGAGCCCTTTTTATATACAATAAAAGATAAAACCGGTGACGATTTATAAGGGATAATCCTTTAAATTTATCCGACACGATAGTCACTTCAAAGTTTAAACCACATATATTGCTGGTGTCCGTAACCTCCTACAATAGCTTTTAGGTATTGATATTTAAAATTTGCTGCTATGAATATATAGATAGCTACTTTTATTAAAATAAATTAATAAGAAAGAAGAGAAGTCTACAGTTGAATTTTTTATTATTTATATATAATATGATACTCATAATACAAGGAAGCAGGGTGAAAACTCGGCTTTTAATTTATCCTGAAGTCTGTCCTTAGTCACGGCGGCGGCACTCATACTAATAACCGTTTGCAAAACGTTTATAACGATGCAACTGTTTTAACCTATCGAACCCAGACCACATGAGTGAGGCCTGAGGCAAGCCTCACTATATAGTAAATTCGTATCACAAGCTTGTAGTCTTTAAGAACTTGAATATTATAGCTATTAAAGTGACAGTAAACCAGTAGAGTAGCATTATAAGATTATTTAGTCAACAAGAAAGGGTTGTAAAAATGAAAAAATAATAATTTTAACACAAGAACACTGCTAAACCAAAGTTGTCGAGGTGGTAGCACGTATGAGATTTCCGAAGGTTCTTTACACCTTATTGTTAACACCAAATGAAAAAAGGGGCTGTATCTTTACTAATTTATTATATAAGTTACCCTGTAAAGCTATCAACAAATACATGTAGACTATTCTTTAGTAGTGTGCTTGGTTTAACCAGTTTCACCCTCTCCCTTTAAGTGTTTGAAGACGCCAGGGGAAAGTGTGTAGTACGTGCTCATACTTGGTCACACTGGTATCGTTTTCTGTAGGTTTACAACCATTCAACGCAGATCTTGCTTTATACTTAAAGTTATTTCAAAGCATTGAGTAGCTTGATCGACCGCATATTAGGGGATGAAAAAATAAAATATTAAAATAAATAGCCGACCTACTTGTACTGTCTTTCAGTTGAATAAATAGATTATGAATCAAGAATATTTTCCTACTAGCATTAAAAGTTTTATTAAAGATTGCGAGGACTCTGGGCTGAAAGAAGTAAATTTTTTTGGTTCACCATTAGTTTCCTTCATTTTAAAAGCCTTATGAATAAAAAGAATTAACTTTTTTATATACAAATTTTTTTAATAATTCAGCAATCTCCTGACGAAACTCATTGCCAATTCACCTTTGGCCTTGATAACGTTACACAGCTTGCTTGGGTGGTGTATAAGCAAACTATAGCTCTTTGGCACACTGTGACTTTTGAGGCAACTCTTTTTTTATTATTTTTATTACGACTTTCTTTAATTTTATATTATCTTTTCAAGGATAAAGGGCGGTTTACAGTAAGCGAAGAAGATCTTGATCTTTCTAGTACTGTCAATACTCACGCTGGCTTAGTATGTATATATCACGAAGAAGGTTTTCTTTTTCCCAGTACAGGTAGTCTTGTTCATTTACTAACTTACTTCAGGTGGGCAGCACACTTGTTTGTTAGCAGCTAACGAGAGAAATTTAATTCGTTATTGGTTTGATCTAAAGCCTTCTTTATACCGCGATTTGTATCTCCCTGAAAATCTTTCTCAAGACTTTTTAAAATGGTCTTTTTTAAAAAAATGTTCTTTTCCTCAAGATAAACAAACTATATTTCACGGAACGCCCTCTGGATATAAAGCAACCAGCGAGATTAGAGGCTTTCTGGCTTGCTTTTCTAACGGTTTTTACATTAAATTGGAATTTTTTTATACTTTCTGAATTTTACATTTTTAATATTTTTCTTTCCAAAGGGGATATATACGTCCTCCCGACGCCCAGGAAACTTTTGCAGGTTAAAAAAGATTTCAGATTTACGCCTTTACCTCACGGAGCTGGTCACGGTTACACTTCACCCATTTTTAATCTGGTTTCAAATTTATTCTCTTTAGGTAATATTTTTTATAAAAAAAATTTAATGCACCGTTTTCTTTTTATTATAATTTTAGGCCGCTTCGGAGCTTCCAGTTCCGAGCTTCTAAGAGTTTTTGTAGAACCCGTTCTATTTGAAGAAGAATATTATGTGTTTGTTTAATTATTTTATTTATTTTTTATAATGACTTACTAGCTAATAATTGATTTTTTTTGAATATCTGTATTATTTAGGAATGTCATTTCCGTTTATTCTCGACGTGCTGAACATCTAATTCTTAATGCGAATTTGCAAGTATTTTACTTTGTAATTTGGATTATTAATTTTTTTGATCGTCATGTTTGAAGGCCATATCGTTAGAAGAAACTGATTTTAAAGGCCTTTTTTCTGTTGATCCCGCAGCAATTTTAGATTTTTGTCGAACGTATTTCTCTAAATTTTTTTAATTGGAAAAATTCGGTTTAGTTCATTTTATAAAATTTGTAAAGAAAGAAGGGATTCAGTTGTCTTTGCAAAACGGGGAAATTATTTAAACACATATTTTTAGACGATCGCTTTTGTCCGACCGGCGAAGAATTTTTACTAGCTTCTTTAGATGACTCTGTACTTATGTGCTTTGTTAGACTAATACATCACGTTTATGCTTTTTTCTGAATTTATTTATTTTTTATCTAGCGATTTAAAATTTCTGTTTTTAAATTAGAGCCAACAAAAAATTCTTGTTCTGGATGATTTAATAAGTAAATACGAACTGACAAACGCCTTTGGAGGTTTTGTTTCTTATATTTCTGTAATTAATTGATTTAATTTTTTTTCCATTGATATATTAATTACTTTTTAAATTAAAATTTCTAATTAAATTTAATTCGAGTTTTCCTTTTATTAATTCTCCCCAAAAGCAACGCCTGAGTGTTACGGCGTGTCGTATATGGGTAGTAAAAGTTGTGCTCGGGATCTTTTTTGCCGTCTCTATGTTTCCCAGGAGCCCAACCAGAAGCCTCCTTTCGCTCTTTGGTCCATCCAACCTGTACGTACCCGCCCGCCCTTCTCTCCCTTTCCCACGTGTTCATTTCGTCCTTGTTTTTACGTTTCCTTGCCAGGAAACGGGCAGCCTTTTTTCAAGCATGGCGGCTTCTTTGAGCAACGACGACTCTACTGTAGCGCCATCGCTGCGTTCCGTTTCCTCCTTATCGTCGCTGGTGGATGGCGAATTTAAATTTACTATTAATTTATAGATGAATCTTATATTTTTTATAAGCATTGCGACACACCCGAACTTTCGCTTCTACTGCGCCACCGACTCGCTCTTCTTATAGAAGAAGTGCAGAATGATCTGAATACCGCACTGCGGTGCCCGCCACCGCGTCGCAAGAATTCTGTTTTTCTTAGTCAAGTTACGTTGTTGTTAGCTAAGGGAGCGAGATACTTTAATTTTTTTTTTTACTTTATTAGTTTTGTAGTTTGTACGATCTTTACGAGAAGCTGCACGCCTCTTCAGTGCTGCGGACGTACATTCTCTCGGATGGCAGGTTGTGCACGGGCCGGGCTGCCCGCCTTACAGAAGTCGCTGTTGACATTTTCATTCAGGAATGCTTTTGAGTTTTTGAGAGAGCAGAAGCCGAACGCAGTGAGCTATTTTGAGCCGCAGGCAGACGGTCTGTCCTTGTCCGCCTCGCAGCTTGTGCTTTCTGTATATATGCTTTTCCTAAACAGATCCTGCCTTTGACCGCAGTGTGTTTACTCTGCTCAGAGACGTGCAGGAAAGGCAAAGGGAGAGCGTCGAGTTTGTTGTTCCGCTATGCGAGCTGATAGCTGTTAATACTGCCTTTTTTTTTTACTCTTTGTGGGTATCACACATTCATGCATCTCTGCTGGTCTCTTTGCGCTTCGTAGTATGTCGCTGAAAAGTCGTTGGAACTTCTCGATAAGCAGCTTTCACTGTTCTTTCCTGCAGAACTGCACCTGAGAGTCAAGATGTTTCTAGTCGAGTCCTCAAAAAGACGTGTCTTCTACCAAACGGTGAGTTTTCATCGCTTCGTGTTACACGCATCAATCACTGTTGCAGCCTTCTCCAGTTTATTGGTCTGCTTGATGAGCAAATCGCGTTTATTTGTTCTGCTGGCTGCCAGAAGCTGGCCATAAGAAACGAGTTGATTGGTTTTCTGCATAGATTGAGGTGGTCATTGGCTTCTCTTTGGCAATCTCTCCAAGTGCACACCTTTTTTTTAGTGCCTGCCGGCTGGAGCTTAACCGACTGGAGCTTTTGAAAGATCTGCGGGCAGATATCCGTAAGGAGACTTTGGAGCTTCTGAGTAAGTAACCCAGCCTTTCTTTTTTATTGGTTGCGTTGTAAAATCTCGTTGTCCAGTTCAGACCAGCATCGCCGCCTCTCTTCCGTGTGCTCCAGTTTTGGATCTGGCGAAAACTTTTCGCGTAACTTCTTTTTGATAGCACGTGCTTCTGTGTATTTCTTTTTTCATTAGCACTTTGAGACGATTATTGAATACTTTTTCGGTGAAAAGTCGAGTTCTGTAAGCTTGAAGAGGTACGCCCTTGGTTTGTCTCGTCGTTAATCTTCCACGTGGAGCTTAGGCCGCCGGTGCAGCGTATATGCTCTGCAACAGTATCTTGCGGATCCTCTGCTTGGAGGGAACAACGCGCCTTCAGCATAAACGTTGTGGAAGACGACTTTACTTTCAAGTTGTTTGATTGGCTGTATACCCGAGGTTGGCGGTCGCCCTGTGGTTGCCACTGTTTGAATGACGAGCCCGACCTTTGCAGGCCACTATGAGCTGCTTCTTCAGGCCGCTGAGGACGACGCTTTAAATAGCCTACTGAGCCACAAGTTGGGCGGGTCGACCCGTCCGCTGAGCGATAGGGTTTTTCTCGTCTTGTCTTTTCTGTCCCCATCCGACTTTCCTGTCCTACCTACGTAGCTGGTAGCGTACTTTGCGCTGTTTGAGGCGGACCACCAAGGAAGAGACAGGATTTCGTGGCTGCACCAATTACACCGCCGTGATTATCGGACGGCGTACGCCACTCTCTACTTTCTTCAGCAGAACCAACGATGTGTTGTTGAGCGGAAGGTTTTTCTCCTCTTCCCCCCTTTCCCACTCTCCTTAACCCATTGCAGCACGTGGTAGACATGTGCCGACTGGTGTGGGCAGCGCAAAATGAGAGCGATAAGCAGGAGGACGACGTTGTGGAACTGAGAACCACTCAATTATTCCTGGATGCTCTCTTATCCATCGGCGCAAAGCACGTGGTCGAGTGCCTTTTCGAAATAACTCTATGTGAGTTGTACTCTTTTGTCAGTATGAGGACGGCGAGACCCTCAACGGAACTGATTGGCAGAAGAGTGTGTTGGACGACTGTCGGCGGAAGCTGTCTTTTTTTTTGGCCTACGCGACATGTTGTGGAAACTTTTAGCTTTATTTTTTTTGCCAGGACTGGCGACTACACGGCTCTTCTGGCCAGCGCGCCCGACCTGCTTGCCCGTGCCGATCTCACTCGACCCGAGCACGTTGAAGACTATATGCACCACTGGTTGTTGCTGTTGGATCTTTCCTCTGTAAGCATTTCCAGTGGCCCGGAGGTTTTTCCCAGTTCACTGACTTTTGTCTATCCTGTCAGGCCGAGCAACTTCCTGCGAGCTTCAGAGAAGAGCAAACCAGCCTCACATGGCGAGCTGTGGTTGCCTGCGACGCAGACGTGTTTCTCAAATCTCCTGCTGATTATGAAAGCGATCATGAGCTTGAATCTGTTTTCAAACGCACTCTATTTTGCAACTTGGCCGAGCCTTCCTATAACGGTGGGATTCATTGTCCGCCTTCTGGTTTGATTTTTTTGATCCTTGAATTTAGCAGAGTAATATTTTCCCTTCGTTAGATCTTGGATTCTTTTTTTATTTCGGAATTTCAAAGGAAGTAGCAACTACCGCATATGAGTTGTTTCTTGAACTTTTTAGAGATGTGTGATCTACACCAAGTACACCAATAAAAAAAATTATCTTTGTTAGATTTTATAGTAAAGCTAGTAGTCTTATGAAGTATTGGGTTTTTTATTATTGCATTTTTTCCAAAAGATTTTAAAAGTACCCAATTATTAAAACTTTTTAGGATTCAAAGTTTATATAAACACTGTGGAACATACGACAGTTTTATCAATAAAGCGTGTTTTTTCTGTTTGGGCTACTTGCCAAGCTCATCGTCATGTGCATTAGAGGCGTTGAGTAAAGCACTACTGCTAATTTTGTTTGTGATAAAAAACAAAATCTGTTTCAGTTTACGCACTTTTTTAAAATTACAAGCAAGACGGCACGGAAATTATTGACTTCAATTGCTGTGTAGATGCGTACATAAAATAATATACTAATTTCGTTGGTGATTTGGTTACGCTTTAGTTTTATATATAAAAGTCGCTGGGAGCATTAATATTACTGAATCGCCAAGAAGTTTTTCGTTTTTTTAAAATTCCTTACTTATTAGAAAGCCACCATGTACTTTGACTATAACAACAAATGCCCTGTAGCTTACAAAAATTGGAAATTTTTAACAAAGGAAACTTTTCTGTTTCTATACATTTTAAAAAAAATATTGCTTAAATTTTTTTATATTTTTTCAAATTCAACGTGTTCTGCCCTGATTAGCAAGAGTTTATAAGATGCTCAAAGGAAGTACTACCTTACCGTTAAGACAGGTTTTTTTGGACTTTTGCAGAGACTATAATATGTCTTAACCTTAATTATAATGTAATGGATACTTTAAATACTGTTTACATAATAGTATATAACTTGACATCTTTTCTTAGCTCAATATTAAAAAGGTTTAAGAGAATAACTATTGTTTAAGTGTAAGGAGAGACGCTTTAAAAAAGCTGCAATTAATTAATACTTTAAAAAAATATCAATAAAGCCACATAGTTTCATATAGCAGTGCCTTCCCCATAGAAAATTAAATCCAAAAAAACGAATTTAATAGTTTATGTAAAGCAAAGGATAAAAAATTTCGGTAAAATAAAAAGGAACTCAGTTTATTATATGTGTCTGCTCTTTACTTTAAGGGTTTCAAGTTTTGTTAGGTTGTAGTATATAAGAACTTTAGCTGTTTTCTTACTATACATTCTTTTCGGCATAACGAAAAATATTTGAAAGGCTTTAAAACGGATTGCAAGTCTAACTGTTTCCAATAGGAAAGCCTTCAGCTTCGTGTAGCTCCGCTCCATAAGAAGCTGTCATTATGAGCACCATTACTTATTATTTACTTTTTAAGAACTTTCAACATTGTAATAAATATTACTTTTCAAACTTAAAAATTATAAGAAGTGTTTATGATATTCCTTATAAATCTTTTCATTCTGGGAAGCCTGATTTTTTTAAAAAGACCATTTTACTAAAACTTAGCCGAGTTCAATTATCTATTGCTAATAGTCAAAACTGGAATGCGAGTAACAATTTTACCTTTTGAATTTTTTTAGGTTGTCTAACGCTTATAAACTTATTTTAGGTTATAATTTAAACCGATGGTTACGAAAGTTTTATAGAGATGGGCAACGTTTAGAGGATTTTGTCGGAGTTGTGAGTAAACTTCAGCAGTCTTCACGTTCCCCTCTTCTTGTTAAAAGTATATTGGTAGAAATTCAAACAGCTTGGCAAACTTTAGCTAGAAATAACGGTTAATTTAAATACTCTTTTAGTAACATAGCAAAGTTGTGCATAATGACAATGCTTAATTCTCTAACCAGAAATTAACAGAACTTTGTTACTTCTTCGGTTGAAAATTGACTATAGTATTTTAACGCATCACGTACAAAGTGGGAAGATCTCAGACAAGGAAGCAGTTTTTAAGTATGAGATTTTGACAGTCACCAACTATTTATGTTTTTATTGAGCAGGCTTGAAAGCATTTATGCATTATCATTAAAGTAAAAAGCAATTTTATTGTTTAATTTTTTGGTTTTTTATATAAACAGAATAAATGAGCGTTGGAAAAAGATTTGTGAGAAATATAAAGATAGCTTGGATCTTGATTCCGAGTTCATCTACGAATACCTTCAATTAAGACATCAGGTAAACTTTTGTGGTAGTAAATTTTTTTTATTTTATTATATTTGACTTTTTTTAGTTTTTTTTAGGACGGCTTAATGTACTTCTATAAAATTGTTTTTTTTTGTTTTAAAATCAACTGCGTTTGTTTTTATATGCTATTATTTTACGGTTTTCTCTATTTTTTAACTTTCTTTTTTGAGTTTTTAAAACTAGACTTTTTTACTTTTCTTATTTTTATTTAAAAATAGATATTATAATTTTTTTAAAACTTTAAATTTTTAGTTATAAATTTTTTTTTTACTTGAAGATCATTTTTATAATTCAAGTTAGGCGACATGTCTGGGATATTCAAAGAATACCAAGATCTCAAGTTAAGGGGACCTTCAAGTTCTTCAGAATTGCTTTACTGTCAAGCGCTCATCAAATTATTGATTGATAAAATTGAGAAGTAAATTATTTTTTTAATTATTATTATTGGCTATAAAATATATTATTTTTAATGTTTTTCTGTTTATAATTTTTTAAATTAAATTTTTTATATACTTTATATTTTTATAAAAATTATAATTTTAAAGCCTTAAGAAAATGTATTTTAAATTTTGTTATAATAATTTTTATTAAATTATTGGTAGCTCTAAAATTATTATACTAACTATTATATTTAAAATTTCATGTGACATAACTTTTTATTTAATTTAAATTTATAATTATAAGATTCGTAATTTTAATAACATTAATAAGAAAAGTTTAAATTTATATAATTTCTTGTTATAATGATTTTTATAATTATTTTAGTTTTTATGCTTGTTGGAATACAGTAAAAGTTAGTCGCGTTTACCACTGCGACGAGATGTGGAAAATTGTTTTAGAACTTTTGCAATATTATGCGAAGTTAAATTTAATTCCAGACGCTGGTTTATAGATTTTTGAAATTATCTTAAATTGTTTGTGACATTTTTTTAATTAAATTTTCCATTATTAATAGTTTATATTGATATTTATGCAATATTTTATATTTTTTGGATTTGATTGTTGATAGTTATTTCAAATTCTAACTTGTTTTACTTTCTTAGTGAATAAATTTATATAAATTCTATTTTAGTGTTTTATATATTTTAATTTTCTATGTAAATATTTACCTTTTTTTACATTTTAATTTGTTTTTCTTTAGTTTACTTATTATTAAAAATATATATATTCAGGAAAAAGTGAAATTAAAATTATTATGTTCATATTTTTTTGGAGTTGCCGTATTAATTTAATATGAGTAGATTATTATTTTAAATTTATAAATTTATTTTTAATTAAGAATCTATTGTCTTTATAATTGAAATTGACTGGCAACGAATTTATAAGTTTTTTGTTATTATTGCCCTGATTTTTTTTTTAATTTAGTAGTTTATATATTATTTCTTGTTTTACACGAATTAATATTTTGATAACGTTTCTTTTATTAATTTTATTAAAACTCATAAATTTTACTCTAGTTTTATATATTAATTGTAATTTACTAACTATTTATTCTCTGTTTTAAAGTAAATTTTAAAAAAATATTTTGACTAGATGCTTTATCCTTTCTAACATTAGTGTTATATTATATTTATTTTTTTATTAATAGTTTATAATTTTTCTGGATCTTTTTTTTTTAGCACGAGAAATAATTTTTTTTATAGATAATTACTTGAAACTTTATAAGAATTTATAATTTTCCGAGATGAGCTAATTTTTAAACTTTCTCGAACAGATTTATTTAATTCCTGCATGAAGTTAGCGATCCACACAAGCGACCCCAATGCTGCCTTACGACTTTTTCAAGAAATGCGTGCTTTGAAAATAATTCCTTTGCAATCTACATTTCTAATACTTTTTGAAAAGTTAATTTAAATTTTTTTTTTCAAAATTTTTTTTGGAGCCTTTAGTTAATAGTTTTTTATGTATATAATTTTTAATCTACTTTTAAAATAGCTATAAAACTTTTTACTCATTTAATATTTTTTAAATTATTTCATTTTTATATAAAATGAAATAATTTAAAAAATATTTTATAATTTATTTAATAATTTCATTTATAAAAACGTTATTTTTTTAATTTTTATTTTATTTTTTTAAAAAAAGTTAATTCGTTATCTTTTGTTAATTTATTTTGTAAAATAAAAGTTAAACTGTAAATCTCTAAATATTAATTTTTTTTGGTTTTCCCATTTTAAATCTTTTTTTAAATAATTTCTTTCGTTAACATAAATTTAATCTTTTTTTTTTTATTTTAATAAGTAATTTAATTATATTCCCTTTTTTCTTTTTTTTGAAAAGTATGAAAAGACTCAACGAAAAACTCGTTAATTCTGTTTTTCAATCGCTTGAATCAGAAGCCAGTAAATACTTGAAAGATAAAAAATTCCTTGAAATGGTAATTTAAATTTTAATAATAATTAAATTCAAGTTTTTAATTTTTGAATCCTTTTTTTTATTTATATATTATCTTTAACTATATTTTTTTTATTAAAATATAGTACGTTGTTTTATATATATTTTTATAATTTCATACTTTTTTTGTATAATCTATTCGAATTAATAAATCAATATTTTATAATTTTGATTTTTTTTTTAATTTTTTTTTTTAATATATAATTTAACTTATTTACAGTTGAGATTATTTTTATTTTTAAAAAAATATTTGTATTTTTGTTTATTAAGAATTAATTTGAATTGTTTCCAATTTATTCTTCATTATTTTTAATTTTTAATTTTATTTTTAAAGGGACAATTTAAATTTGCATTTAATTTTTTAAATTAATATAAAACTATTATACCTTTAATATTATCAATTACTTTATTAAATTATTTTAAAAGTTTTTTACAACTTTTTTAATTTATTTTAATTTTAATATTTTTTTATATATTTTTATTTAGAAAATTTTTTACATTTATTTAAGTGTTTTATAATTTTGAAACGTTTCACTTTTTTCTAATAGACACTATTATATTTATATTAATATTTATACTATTAATATTATTAACTTGTTATTTTATTTAATTTTATATATAATTATTTACTTTTTGTTATTGTTTGTATGAATATAATAATATTTTTTTTCGTGTATCGTCATATAATTATTATTTTCCTATTTTTTATATTATATGTAGCATCTTAATAACCCTTACTTATGTGTATGTCTATGTGAAGTTTATATTTTCTTTATTATGCATTTTATATATATTTATTATATTAATTATTTATTATGTTTATATTATTACTTTATTATAACGCATTTACTTTCATCCTATTTTTGCTAATATAAGCTTTTTATGCAAAATAAACTGAAGCTTAGAAGCTATTATTATTCATGTTACTAAAATTTTATAGTAAAAAGTTATAGTTGTTATACTTAATAAACTCAATTAGTTTAAATTAATCTTTAATAAAAATAAAAACGAAAGAGGTGATAAAACTTGAAGTTTTCAAAACAAAAGGAAATATCAAATTTAAAATATCAGAATTAGATGTACAAGTAAATGAAATTTTTATTGAATTTCTTCTCAAAGTTACTATGAGTACTGATGTTTGTATTTTAAATTCAGTCTACTTTGTTTTTTTCGAAAAAATCTATTTTTTAGAAAAGAAAAGCGAAATTAAATTTGTGAATTAGTAAAATCTAATATATTTATAAGTTTCTATGTTTATAAAAAATATTTTTGATATTGTTTTTGGGAATTATTTTGTAAAAAATATTTTTAAATTGTTTATTTAATTCAGTTTTCTTTATAAATTAATCAAACAAGCGAACGTAACAAATTAAAAAATATAAATTTCTAAATTCCTTTTTTCATTTCTAAAAAAATATATATCCATGTAAATTCTAATTTTTCTTTTTAATAATTTATTATAAAATAAATTTTAAATTGGAAAGAGATCTTATAAATTTATATTTATACTTGTGAGAAACTAATTGAAATAGTTGCGTTAGAATTATGTTTTTCTTTAATTATAGTTATGTTGTTTAAAATTTTTATATTTTCAGACTGAAGTGAAATTTAAATTTATTTTTTATAATTGCTAGAAATTATTTAAGTTTAATAGTTTAACGTATATATATATTTAATTAGTTATAAGAAATAGAACTTAAAGGAATTTATAGTTCTGTTAGTTACGATTTTAAATATTTTTATTTTTATATTATATAAAGTACAAGCGCCTAAAGTGTATAATATTTAACATTTTTTTTGAGATTAATGAAAATATATTTTTTTTAATTTTGATTATTATAATGTTGTTTGATAAATTTTATAGTAATTTCTAAATTTGAAGGTCTGAATTAATAATCTTGTAGAAAACTTTATAATTTTCAAAGTTCAATTGTAGATTTTTATTATTATTAAATTTCATTATTAATATTTATTTTGATTATATTTAAAATTTGATTGATTTTATAATTACGAAGAAAATTTCTAATTTTGTTAAAAAAGTTGTTATTGAGTTGTCTTGTGTTTTTAATAAAATTTATTATTTTTGCTTATTTACTAAAAATTGATTTATATGAAGCTTAATTTTATTTTTTATTTATAATAAAGTTTGTTTTTTTTATTCCTCGTTCAATTAAAAGTTTATTAGTTTTTTTGTATTCTGTATATTTATGTAAACTAAAAAAAAAATTAAGAATATTGATAGCTTTTATTTATAATTTAGTAACAGAAAGTATAAGTTATAATAAATAGAAATTTTGACTCCACAATAAATTAATTTTGTTTTATATTGTAGTTTTTATTAATTTTTAATAAAATAAATTTTAGATGGTTTTTATAATAGAATTATTTTGCAAAAATAAAAATTTTAATAACTGGAATTTTTGAATCTGCAACAACTTAATAACTCTTAACTGTAACCAACTCTATGTAAATTTTTTTTATGTGATATAATATCTTACTCTCAATCTGTTTATCGTATACTAATGGGAAAATTTTTTTATTTTTAATTAAAGCACTAAATATATATATATATATATATATATATATTACTTTTTATTTTTTTGTAAAAAAAAAATGTAAATCACAATTATTAATAACTTTAATTTGCGATTAAAATTTCGGTTATCAGTTTTTCTAATATATTTTTATTTAAATTTAACGTAAAAAACTCTTTAATGTTTCGTATATTTTTAATTATTCGTTAATTTAATTTTTTTAAAAACTTTATTAAAAAAGAAAAGCAAATTTATAAAAAAAAATTCGCTTTTTTTAAATTTTATTAATATTTCAGAATACTTGGTTAGATTCCTTAACTTTGTTTCGTTTATTTATAATTTATTTTGTAAGTAATTTATTTTTTATATAAAAATAATTTTTATAAATTTTATTAACTTAATTCGTTTAAATTTTTTTTTGTTAATTATAATTAAAATTCCAAAATTTTTTGTAATTTTGGGTTTTTAAAATGTTTATTTTTTTTTAATTTTTAAGTTTTTTTGTTAATATTTTATTTATTAAATTTTATTCCTCATTTTAAAATAAATTAGATTAATTTTATAATTTATATAATTTATATGTACTTCCATTATAACGGATTATTTTTTTAAGCTAATTAATTATACATTAATTACGTTTAAACTTTTTGTAGTGTATGAAAGTTTCGGCCCGAACGCACAACTACGATTTTGGCGAGTACATTCGAGGCTGGTGCGGCTCTCAGCAACTCCAGAATTCTCCTTTAATATGGTCTTTTTACTTTTATTTGTTATTAGGATTTTTAATTTTATAAATTAAAATTATTTATGTAAATTTAAAAATTCTATTTTATTTAAATGTAAATTTACACTTTTTTGAAAAATATATATTAATTTAAATTATTCAGCCCTCCAGAATTCTCCTCGTTTATGGTTCTTTTACTTTTATTTGTCATTAAGATTTAAATTTTATAAATTTTCAAAAACCTTCTAAATATCAATTTAAATTCTATTACTTTTTAACACTTTTTATTAATCTATAATTCACTTATATTATTTTCGCATCTTTAGAATTCGACAATCTACTTTTTAATTTTCCTTTATAAATAACACTAATACTTCCATTTATAAAATCAGGCCCCTGGTTTATAATTTTAAGGAACTTTAAAAAAAATTATATTTCCTATAAATAAGATTAATAATAAATCTCCTATTTAACTTTTGGTCTTCAGTTAGATTCTTTTTCTATACTTACTTCTCTATAAATCTTTAAACTTAGCTTTTTTTATAAATCAGGTTCATCAAATTTCAATTATTAATATTTTTTTATAAAAAATAAAATTCAATTTTCTTTTCTGAATGAGATTTTAAAAATCTAAAATTTTATTTTATAATTTTTATTTTTCAATCAGATTTATGATTAGTAGATATCTAAAGACTTTTTATAAAATTCTAAAGTAAGCTTTAATTTATAATTGAGATTCATACAATATAGTATATTGGTGACTTTATAAATCTTTAAATTTTTTCATAATTAGATTTATAATTTATAAATAAACTTATCATTTTTTTTCCATTTTTTATTATAGTTTCGGTTCATAATTTATAATTCTTTAAGGGCTTTATGAAAATTTTCAAATTCAATTTTTTTTATAGCAGAACTAGATATTCTTCCTCGTTAATTACTTTTCTCAAATCTCTTAATTTAATTATTTTATAAAATTCATTAATATTTTTTAATCTCAACGACTTTATATGAATCTTTAATTTCTTATTCATTTTTATAGTTTTTATTTACTTATTTATTTGAATAATATGGTTTTAGTTTTAAAATAGAAATCTTCAGATTTATAAATATAAATTTATAGTGAATTAATTTATATATAGTTAGAAATATAATTTTTATTTGGCTAAAATTTACTTTTTATTATTTATATATAATTATACTAAAATTTTATAAAAATTTTGATTAAAAGTTAAAATGTTCATATTAACGAGTAAAAAAAATTTATAAATAATAACAAAACTTTCAGTAATAAGTCAATTCAAAAAATTAATAATTAATAGAACTTCAGCATTTAAAAATTTAAGTATTTATAGTTTATCAACTTATAATTATATATTTTTTTTAGATTTAATCATGTGAAAATCATAGCTTTTTTAATTTTTCTATTATTTAGTTGTAAAGTAAAATTTTTTAGTATAATATTTTTTTATACATAAAAGAGTTTTTATCGCAGTAAAAAAATATTTTGGGTGTATTTTCTATTATCTTTATATTATATTTGAGAGAACCATATTTTGTGAATCTCTACTTTTTTATATAATCTTAAAGTAAATCGAAAAGTAATATTTATTAATCACACGTTTTTTTTTAAAATATCGAAATATTTTATTGTGGTACTAATAAAAGATATTTTGCATTTAATTTCTGTTTAGTTACAAATTTAGTATATAGATTTATAATGTGTAAATCTCAATTTTTTGTTTCTACTTTAGTAAAATCGAGAAGTAAATTTTATAATCTTGCGATTTTTCTCAATTATAGAACAGTTTTTATTAGTTATTAATAATATTTTGAATTTATAATTTGTAAAATTTTACTATAAAAAAAATTATAATTTTTTAATCTACGTTTTTTTTAAATTGTGAAACAGTTTTTATTTTAGTAACAAAGAATAATTTAGATTTAATTTGTTAACTTAGAATTTTATTTTATAGATTTTAATTTGTATTAATTTTTACTTTAATCAAAAAGAAAAGTAAATTTTATTTTAAATTATTTTCTTATTTTGTTTTTTACTGACTTTCTTAATTTCCTTTTTTTTTACTTTATAAACTAAACTATCTAGATTTCTTAAATTTTTTTTTACTTTTTCTTTTAAACAATTTTTTTTTAGATTTCTTTTAGTATTTTATTTTTGTTTACTAGATGTTTAACTTTTAGAATTCTTAAAATCAAATTTGTTACATTTTCTGTAGGGAATACTACATGAGTCTCCTTTTGCATAAAGGAAAGTACGATGACTGCGTAAATTTCTTTCTGCAGCACTTCACACGTGAGCCTCCTACGCGAGCCGTTTGCGAGATTCTTTCTGCTGTGGTCTTTATGATTTTCCTTAATAAAATTTATTTTTTTATTTGAATATTGTCGTTTTTTCTATTCTAATTAATTAATTTTTTTTAGTACTTTTATTATTTTATTAATAATTTCTTTTGCTATACTTTTTTTAAAAATAATTTTAATTCATGATTATTTTTTAATTTTTAGGCGAAAACCACAGCCAACCCCTTTCTATCTGCGAGGCTTCTTCAATTGGTTCACAAGCACGGCTACGCCCGCACAGAGCTTTTCGACGTGAACACCATTTCGGTACCGTCTTATCGGTTCAGGCCTCAGTCGTCTGTTATTTTTTTTATTTTATTTTCATCTTTTTCAGGCGATGCGGATCGATCTTTCGCACTGTAAAGATCGAAATGATCTCAAAAAGCGAGTAGTCTTTTTTTTTAGTTATAAGTTTGATCTGCTCATTTAGCGATCGGCTCTGCGCCTTCCTTAAAAGGTGATGTCCGCCATTTATTTAGACAATGCGATCGCTTACGTCAATGCGGGCGCCACGGAAATCACTGGGCCGGTCCTCCTCGCGCTGGCCGTTTCCTGCAGGGAATCGGGTTTTCTCACGCGCGGTTTGGACATTCTTATGGTTTTTTCTTTTCGCACGCACTTATTTTCATTTTAATTTTATTGATAATTATTATTATATTTATTATTACTATTATAATTTATTATTATTATTAGAAAAGTTCTGAACTTGAAGTAACTTTGGACTTTGCTTTGCTAAAAGAATACTGCCTTGAAGGCTTTAATACTCATTTTCGGAATGTGCGGATTGCAATTTTTTTTCCAAAAATTTGTGTATTTTTTTTATTGTTTGTGCATTTTTAACAGATGAATGAAAACTTTTTAAGAATTCTTAAGTTTTTGCATCGAAGTAGTTATCCCTTGTCTTCTATGAATCAACTTTTTGACGCATGCAAGTTCGTTTATTTTTATTATTATTATAAATAATAATTTTTTTTTAACTATAATTAGGAGCAAACTCCAAGCAGCCCACGCGCAGGAGGCAAAGTTATTTATCGAGTCTGTGAAACCAGATTTTCTGTTTTCAAGATCTCATAATAAAACGTGTTTATAGTTGAAAATAAAGAAATGGAGTATGTATTTAGATAATTAGAAAAAATATATGATCCCTACAAATTTCCATAAATACTTACAAAAGAGTAAAATTATATTTAAAAAATATATATGATATGGATTATTTGCCTTAAAAGTATTAAAAATTTCCTACTATTTTACTAAAAATATTCAGAACAGAGTAAACGTATCAAAAAAGAAGAACTTAGTTAAGAGAAGGACTATTTGCATTATAAAGTATAAGAAATTTCCTACAAAATAACCAAAAATATCCAGAACATAGTAAATTAAAAAAGGATTTAGTTAAGGGATGGACTATTTGGAATAAAGGTAAAAGGAATTTCCTACAAAATATCCCAAAATTTACAGAAAAGAGTAAAAGTTTAATCAAATAAAGAGGTTTTAATTGTTATTGCAAGTACTAAGATAGTATAAAGGTCTATTCGCCGGCGATCTTCTAGGTATTTTTTTCTAAGCAATCCCCAATTATATAAGACAAACTTTAATTTTATTTAATAGGAGAAATGTTCTGTTATTCAGTGTTATTTGTTAATAACAAGAAACCATCAAATTTAAATGTCTTTAAACTTTTAGTACAAATTATATTAATTTGCTTTATATACTACATATATAATAGTTATTTTATGCATATAAATAAAATATAAATAGTTTAATAAAATTGCATATTAACCAAAAATTATTTTTTAACATAGGAATGTTTACAATGATATTTAATATTAAATTAAATATTAAAAGTTCTTTAATGATTTTCTTTAAGCATGTAATATATGGTATGTTACAACTCTTTTTCGCTACGAAATAGCCAGTTTTTAATAAACTATGAATTCAAATAAATATCTAAATTAATAAAAAAAATAATTTTGTAAC